ATCATTATGTTTCTCTCTCTCTTCTCTGAAATCAATAAAAACATATTTAAAAAAAGAAAGTGACTCCAAAGCAGGCACTGTGCCTTTTTACAGGAAGAAACAAGACATTTGTGAGGATTTGCGAGAAGAAAGAGACTTACTAGTAGTTTTGGGTGCTCATCACTGAGGCGTCTAAGCAGAGTTGGGGCTTGGGTAGTAAATGAAAGAAAGAGCAGGTCTGTGTACACACCTGTCGGCCCCGAACCCCCTGACTCTGCTGGTTAGGACTCTGTCCCCGGGGAGGTTCGCCTCTGGGCTTGGGGGACACAGACAGAGGCCCCAGTGTTCTTGCAGGAGCAGCTGCTTAAGTAACTGTAGTTCAAAGGGATCAACATGCCCCAGAGTGGCGTCTTCGGGGTGGCCTGCCCTGGCCCGACACTTGCAAATGCCTTCAGCTGCGTAAGTCTTCCGCCTTATTTATCAGACATGTTCTATGGGACAGTCGGTAGGGGAAGTCTTCCACGTTAATTATCAGACATGTTCTCTGGGACAGTCGCTGGGGTAAGTCTTCCGCCTTATTTATCAGACATGTTCTCTGGGACAGTCGGTAGGGGAAGTCTTCCACGTTAATTATCAGACATGTTCTCTGGGACAGTCGCTGGGGTAAGTCTTCCGCCTTATTTATCAGACATGTTCTCTGGGACAGTCGGTAGGGGAAGTCTTCCACGTTAATTATCAGACATGTTCTCTGGGACAGTCGCTGGGGTAAGTCTTCCGCCTTATTTATCAGACATGTTCTCTGGGACAGTCGGTAGGGGAAGTCTTCCACGTTAATTGTAAGACATGTTCTCTGGGACAGTCGGTAGGGTGTGGGCAGACCCTCCTGTAAAAGGCCGGGTAGCAAGTGTGTGAGGCCCACAGGCCGGGTCTCTGCGCCCTCGACTCCACCTCTGAGTGGGAGCCGCTGCGGACAGTATGACAATGAATGGACGTGGCTGTTTTGCAATAAAACTTTATTACAATATATTTTTATTGATTTTAGAGAGGAAGGGAGAGAGAGAGAGAAACATCAACGATGACAGAGGATCATGGATCGGCTGCCTCCTACACCCCCCGATACTGGGGCTCAAACCTGCATTCTGGGCATGTGCCCTTGACTGGAAACGAACCCAGGACCCTTCAGTCCACAGGCTGGTGCTCTATCCATTGAGCCAAACTGGCTAGGACCATGTTTTCATTTTTGTGTGTATAGAGTCTATACTATAGGCTGACTTGCTGTGGAAGGTGAGTTTGTTGGCCCAGCCACACGGGCACAAACAGGAAGTCCTGAAGCCTTTCTGTGCGGCTAGTAAATGTCAGCCCTGGCCTCTCCCTAGGGCTCCCCCTCCCCCTGGCTGCCCCATCCCACCGCCAGGACCAACCCAGCCCCCATCTCCCCAGACCCAGAGCTACAGGGGGACGCTGGTCCCATCTCCCAGGTGCCTTCACTTCCCCACAAGCAGCTTAGCTTCCATCTGTTTTACATAATGGCCTCAGATAAGGCGCTGTTTGCAGAAAGTACTCAGGGGGAAACCATTGGAAAACCCCTGCTCAAGGTCAGCCCTCAGGCCTGGCAAGCTCCCACAGTCCGGGATTTCCTAGGATGGAGGCCTTTCCCCCAAACACACCAGCTCCTTATGAAGCCAATGCCCTCTGCCTCCTGGTGTCATGACCCCGCATCCTAATGGGCAGCAGACACGGGCCTGCGGGTGTGGACACGACCCCCGCGCCGGCTCCAAATCAGATGAGGCAGAAGGTGCTGGAGTCCAGGCTCAGGTGGAGGCGGCTGGAAGGGAGTGGGCCCAGCCCTGTCCCAACTCTGTCTTGAGTCAAGAAGCCGTGTGTTTTCCTGCCCTTTTTTCGCTTTGACTCACCTGAATTCACACTTTCCGAATTTCTGTCAGTTCTCCCTAAGAAATTATAGACCAGCCGTGCCAGGCTGCGGAGGGCAGCGTTCTCATCGTGTAGAAATACGCAGCATAAAAACTCTCCTATGTCCAGGCGTGTTTCCAGCTGTTCTTGGGACGGAGCCATCGGGCCTTGCAGACGGGGTGGGGTTGCTGGGCAGAGGGTGGGAGGGGGTGTGAGGGAGAGAGCTCTGAGGTCTCCATGGACAGTGGACCCCGGGGGTGGGCCTGTCAGGCACTGCTGGGCGAAGGCCTGGCACGGACTGGCCCGTTTTTTCTTAGCACTCCCTGAAAATCATTTCTATTTGCTTTTTTTAAAAATATTTTTTATTGATTTCAGAGACGAAGGGAGAGAGTGTGAGAGAGAAACTTCAATGATGAGAGAGAACCACTGATTGGCTGCCTCCTGCAGGCCCCACACTGGGGATCGAGCCTGCAACTCGGGCCTGTGCCCTGACCAGGAATCGAACCCTGACCTCCCGGTTCATAGGTCGATGCTCAGCCCCTGAGCCACGCCCACGGGGCTGAAAGTCATTTCTATTTTTAGATTTGCTCTCTGCCGGTTACCTCTGGAGCAGAGAAGCCCACACCTGCCGGTTCCTAGGGTTTTCCCGACCTCGTTGCCCTGGGAGGTTAAGCGAAGCCCAGCAGGGCCGCCCTCTGTGGCAGGTGTCCCCTCCGCCGTCGCCGCTGCTCACGGGAGGATCTTGTCACGCAGCCCGTCGGTGCTTACTTTTCTCGGGCAAGTCTGCTGTGATCATCTTGAAAAGCGGGGCTGCCCCGCCCGGTGGCTCAGTGGGTTGGAGTGTCGTCTCATACACCAAAGGGTTGTGAGTTTGATTCCCGCTTCTCTCTCTCCCTCTCCCCCTCCTTTTCTCTCTCAAATCAATAAACACATCCTCGGCGAGGCTGCCTGTTATTTTTTTGAGTGGATGTAATTGTTTCATCTTGTCATCCATCCATCCATCCATCCATCCACCCCCCAGTGTTCCTACACCTGCTGTGGCGAGCGCTTTGCTCCGTGTGGGGGACGCAGTGATGACTAAGACCATCTTCCTGTAAAGAAGTCATCGTCTGGGGGCCGCTGGACACCAACATAGTTATTAACGGAGAGCTGAGCTCCGTGATGGGCGGGCGTGGCCTTTCGGGAACACGCAGTCACCGAGGCCCCTGGGATTTCACTGGGGGTGCCACCCGGCCGACAGCGAGGACGGGCTGGGACTCCGGCTTGCTGGTGCGGTGAGGACGTCAGTAATGGGGTCAGGTAGTTGAGCGACACAGGTGCATTAATGTTCCGGAAGCTTCCCTCGGTGACGCTGCGGTGTGGTCCTCGGGGGCCAGGACTGGGCACAGGGAGAGTGAGTAGGAAATGCCGAGTCCCCTCCTGGTCACCCACCTGCTTCCTTCGTCCGTGCTGGCTGGCACCCCCTGGGTGCCCACCTCTCCCAGGCCCTGGGATCGTAGGTTCGCCCAGGAGAACGGCAGAGGGACAGGGTGGTGGGAACATTTTGGGGGTTCTTGCTGGTGGGGAGCATGACAGCCTCTGCGGGCTGGCTTGACGGAGGAGTGAACGACGGGATGTTTCACCTTGGCGTTTGGGGCAAGCGGCGCGGACAGAACCGCCCTTCTGGGGTGCAGACGGCCAAGTCTTAACAAGCCGGCCTTTGCGGTTTCACCGTGATTCGTCTCGGATCCTCGGGCCGCAGACTCATTTTCCTGCTCGTTAGCACGTCTAGTGGGGAGCAGGGAGGCGGGAAACCTCAGGCCACTTGCCGCTCGCTAGCAGATTTGGTAAAGGAGGTGGTGAAATTACTATTTCATTTTTAAACAATATTTTTGTTGATTTCAGAGAAGAGGGGAGAGAGAGAAACATCGGGGATGAGAGAATCGTGGATGGGCTGCCCCCTGCCGGCCTCCTGGGGATCGAACCCGCAACCCACGTTCTGCTCCTCAGCGGGCTCGGAAGCGCCTCTGCAAATGCGGAACTTAGAGTTCCTCCCTGGGGGCACTGCTTCCGATCGCAGCCCCTGGAGGAGGGGTGTGGGGGGAGGAGGGAGGTGTTGGGGCTCAGGGACTTCCCACCCGACCCTGCAGTGAACAGTTCTCAGCAGTGAGGGGTCCCCCCCCCATGAGGGGTCCCCGGGCTGGGCCCCTTCCTGGTGGGCGGCGGCTGCCTGGCCCCCGGCTGAGATGGCCAGGCCTGTCATGCGGCGTGTTCTGGAGGATGGAAAGCAAACAGCCAGGAGGGAAGCGGGTCACAAGGGAAATTAAAAATAAAAAGTAGCCCTCGCCGGTGTTGCTCAGTGGTTAGAGCGTCCGCCCCCGGACTGGAGGGTCCTGGGTTCGAGTCCGCTCAAGGGCACGGACCTCGGTGCAGGCTCCTCCCCGCCCGGCCCTGGTCGGGTCCACGTCTCTCCGTCTCCCTAAAACTCAATGGGAAACTATCCCGGGGACCATTCACAAAAATTGTCCTGCCTCAGAGGTGAGCCCCGGGAGCACCCGCTCCTGTCCCCCCCCCCCCCCACATACACACCTGGCAGGTCCCGCTGCCGGCAGGGACGCGGCCTCGGGGTCTGGGGGGGACCCCGCCGTGGCTCTCACTGGAAGGTGAGACTGGGCCGCGGCCTGGCGCCGGGAGGGGCGGGGAGGGGAGGATGTGTCTGCGGGGCCAGCGGGGACTGGGGTTCACGTTTTGTTCGCGTCTCTGTCGGACGCTGGGAGCGGAGTCCCCTCCAGGAGGCCGTGCTCCTCCTGCGATGCCGTCTCTGTTGCAAACGGCGTAAGGGACGCAAACGGCGTAAGGGACGCAAACGGCGTAAGGGACGCAAACGGCGTAAGGGACGCAAAGGGCGTGCAGCTGTCACGTGGGGCACAGAGGATGCTGGGAAACGGGCCGGCGCGGAGAGAAGGGCGAGGTGGGAACACGGAGGGACGAGGAGCAGGTGGAGGACCAGGACAGGCAGCGGGGAAAGGCCGACGGACAGACAGCGGGCCCAGGAGGGCGGGCCTGGTTCTGGTCCCGCGCCCTGACCCGCTCCGGTGCCGCAGCCCGGACTGACGCTCTCTCCGCCGCAGGTGCTGACGTCCTGCCGGGCCTTCCTGCTCGCAGCGCGGATCCCCTCCAAGGTGAGTGCCGGCGCCGAGGTTCCTCCTGCCAACGCACGCACACACGCACCATGCACACACGTGCACACACGCACACGGCACATGCACACACACACCACGCGCATGTGCACACATGCACTACACACACGCACACCAGCAAATGCACCGCACACACAAACATATGCACCATGCGCACACATGCACACATGCATCATGCACAACACGTGCACACACTCAAATGCGCGCACACACCATGCACACACTCTAGCAAATGCACCGCAAACACCACACACATGCACGCCTCACAACACGTGCACACATCAAGAAACACACGTCCCATGTGTACCATACATGGGGCGGTACAGCTCACCCCCGAGTATCCATGTGCGCACGTACACACGCACCACACGTATGATAGTACCACCCACTCGAGGGAGCAGAGCAGAGGGTCCCGGGTTTGGGTCCTGCTTGGTCCCGTTACATTTCTAGGTGGAAGGAGAGGACAGACCAAAGGCCCCGACTCCATCCATTGTCTGCAGGAGCGTGAGAGGCTGGAGCCAGGGAGGTCGGTGGCCACTGTCCAGGAAAAAGGCAGGGAGGGGAGACTGGGCCTACTGTTTCTTTAAATCCTCACTGAGGCTGATTCCATTGATTTTAGAGAGAGAGGAAGGGAGTGAGAGAGAGACATCGATTGCTGTCTCCCCTACCCGCCCTGACCGTGGATCGAACCCACAACCTTTTGGCCTACGGGACGATGCTCCAACCTGAGCCACCGGCCAGGGCTGGGCCTATTTTGAAGAAAATAAGTGCTGATCCCAGGAGGAGAGTGGAAGGGACCCTTATTGCTAAAATAAGAAGGAAATAAATTATTTCCCTACCAGCAGGGGGAGAGAGGGCTTTTATTTATGTGTTTCACTTAAGCCTGGTTTAAAACTCCTAAATACCGTGTTTCTCTAAATCCATTCAAAATGTGAATCTTCTGGGAGACGGCAGGAGGAATGACGGCTCCCTGAGTGGTCCGTGTCCCCGGAGAGGTCAGGGTTCAGAAAGGAGGACAGTGGACGCGACGTCATCCGGCGGTGACTCTGAAGCAAACATTGAAATAAAAGGAAAAATGGGCTTAGATGCCTCACTGCACACTTCATTTCTAAATGAATGAAAAACCAGAGTAGAAATGCCAGCACTTCCCAGTGGGTTTGTCCCAGGATGAAACTTACGAAGTCGCACGTGCACCTTCTGGGGGAGCATGCAGTGCTCTTTCTGAAATACGGTCCATCGAGGGCCCATCTCGGTGATGACGGAGACACGCTAGCCCACCTCTGGCTGCTGGTGCGTCGCTGCCTGCAGCGTTTTCACCCTGAACTGTGCTCTGAGCCCTGATCACAGGTCTGTGTCCCCCACCCCCTCTTTGCAGCTCGAGCTGACCTTCAGCTACTTGGACATTCAGGGCGTCACCTGCAGCAAGCCCGCGCAGGTGAGTGCGCCACGGAGACCGTGGGCGGGACCGCGGGGCATCCCCTCCCCTGAGGGTCGGACACTGTGAAACATCCTCTGGTTGGTCTCACTGTTGAACGTTTCTCGAGAGAATGTGGAAAAGCAAGATGAGGGACCGGGAGGCTCGGAAGAGAAGCTGAAGGGGCCTGTGGGCAGGGCCGGGCTGGTTCCCGTGAGGAAAACCTTCTCAGTAACTGCGGGAGCAGCTGGTTACCACACTGGCGCGGAGCAGGGCTGGGTGCCAACCTGTGAACCAGGAGGTCACGGTTGGATTCCCGGTCAGGGCACAGGCCCGGGCTGCGGGCTTGATCCCCAGTGTGGGTCGTGCAGGAGGCAGCCGGTCCATGATTCTCTCATCATTGATGTTTCTATCTCTTTCTTCCTTTCTGAAATCAATCAAAGTGTGTGTGTGTGTGTGTGTGTGTGTGTGTGTGTGTGCGCGCGCGCATATATATATTAAAGAAACGTGAATTCCTATCGTGTGTGCACAACAACGGGTTTCTAGGGCAGGTGGGAGTGACAGCAGAGTTTTCTCTTACGTCTGGGTGACCGAGCCTATTCCAGACGGGACTCGTTTCCAGAACTGGGGTTTAGAGGCAGCTTTCGGGGGCCACTGGGGCCAGCAGCCCTGAGGGGGTCAGGAGCCTGGGTCCCAGCGCCGCACCTGCTGCTGCCTGGCGTGGGCCCTCCCACCCGTCCTCCCCGCAGAGAGGAAGGGAGAGGGAGGGAGAGAGACAGAAACACCAATGATGAGAATCATGGACCGGCTGCCTCCTGCATGCCCCTCACTGGGGATCAGCCCACAGCCCGGCACGTGCCCTGACCGGGAATGGAACCGTGACCTCCTGGTTCCTAGGTCGATGGTGAACCACTGAGCCCCCTGGGCCGGGCAGGGCATTCTTTTCTGTCACATACGGTCACACAGGCGAGGGACGGGTTGTGATGACGCAGTCCCCGCGCTTCCCCCTGCAGATGGCCGTGGAAACCGAGAAGTACAGCTTGTCCCTGAGGATGGCGGCGCCCGAGGACGTGAGCGAGGTGCTGGCGCACCTGGGCTCCTGCCTGCGGAGGATCTTTCCCAGCCTGTCTCCCCTGTGAGTCCCAGGGGGCGGGTGAGGGCTGGCCTCCTCCCACTCGGCCCCTGCTCCACGGCTGAGGTTTTCTGTGTGGCTCTGCCCGCCTGGGGTGAGGTTTTCGCTCTGGGATCCTCCCGTGGGACCTCTGCGCCCAGCGCTCTGTGGGTGCCCGGGACCAAGGCTTGGTGTGCGGGCGTCACTTGCGGGTTAATGAGGACAGAACGCCATTCCTTTATGTTTTATTTTCTGATCAGTAAGAGGAAATCTAAAAAAAACCCCCCAAAACGAACGTAAACATAATGATTAGCCTCTTTCCTTTTTCTCTCGGTTTTCTGAAATACACCTTAAGATATCAGTTCATGTTTATGTCTGCCTGTTAAGCATGTAAGCTCGGGATTTGGAGGGACAGGTTTGTACTTGGGGAGCACGTCCTAGGGTGGGTGTGGATGTTTTTGTGTTTTTTTCCCCAAAGACACAGGTTTAATATTCCTTCTGTACGAAAATGTGCTCACAGTACAGCCACACACACAAACTTAGTTGCTTCACTGTTGTGTCCCAACACATCACACGACACTGGGGCCCCTGTCTTCCAGTTAGACAACTGCTTGGGGTTCGTTCCACCTTTTTAAACGAGATGCTCACCCGATGTTTGAAGGAGACGCCGTGTGGGAATAATGCATGAGTGAACCCAGTCTCTCTCGCAGGGGACTCTGGTGCTGTGGGCCAGTACAGTAGCCTGTTCACACGTGGAGGGTCACAGAGTGCCGGCACCTGGGACACACCACGCTGTGCTCACATCTGAGTCAGCCACACGCTCGCTTGATTGAGCCGCTTTGCCCCACAGGGTCCTGGCCTGTCTCCCTTGCCCCTGAGGCCAGAGCGCCTCCTTGGGTGGGTGTTTTTGTGGGTAAACCCCGACCACCTGCGTCAGGAACGCTGAGCTTGACCTGCAGGACGTCTTGGTGGGGACGTCAGGGTCTGTGAGATGGGGGGGCTGGAGCTTGGAGGGAAGGGCCAGGCTGCAGGCCCAGCAGGTGTGAGGGTCATGGTGTCACCGTGGGTGAGGCCTGGCTGTGACTAGGGCCCTGGACAGGGCAAGGTGGGTGAGACTCCCGGTGAGCCCAGAGCCAGAGGGCTTGGCGCAGTGACACTGGGTATCGGGCACGCTCGGGGCAGAGGCTGTCCACAGTGGATCAGCATCAGGTACGCTCTGGGCAGAGCTGTCTGGTGGGTTGGCACCGTGAGGGCACAGGCGACCTTGACCTGCGTGGTGCCAGGTTTGGGAGGGAGAGGCGGATGCCTGGCTGTGAAGTGATGATGTGGACATGGTTTGTGCAGAAAACTCCGACAAGTGTGGCACCCTGGCTGGTTTGGCTCAGTGGATAGAGCGTCAGCCTGCGGACTGAAGGGTCCCAGGTTCGATTCCCGTCAGGGGCACATGCCCCGGTTGTAGGGTCGATCCCCAGTAGGGGGTGTGCCGATGGATGATTCTCTCTCATCATTGACATTTCTCTCTCTCTTTCCCTTCCTCTCTGAAATCAATGACAATATATTTAAAAAAATAAAATAATGGCCTCTCACAAAATAGATTTCTGTGTGCAGTCTGAAACACTTGATTTCTGACGCTCCTCGTTGTGTGGTCCTGCAGGAAAATCATGAAGAAGGTGTCCATGGAGCCGCCGGAGCGGCTGGCCAGCCTGCAGGCCGAGTGGGACAGCCAGCCGGCGGCCGAGCAGGGCCCCTGTGGTGAGCACACTCCCCGGCTCTCAGGCTGCGTGGGGCCCGCCAGGCCGTGAGGTCTAGCCCAGTGCGCGTGGCGGCTGCAGTCCGTGGGAAGCTGTAATCAGCAGGCGGGGAGGGGGCTGTACTTAAGCTCTACACATCCCACGCCCGCCCGCCCGCCTGCACGGGGGCGTCCCGGTTCCCAAGCAGAGAAGGAGCCCGCCCAGCGCCGGGCGTGGGAGCTTTTAAGTTTCAGCTTCACAGTCGCTTCCCCGAAAACCTGTCCCGTTTCCGCTTATGTTCCAGGTGGGTTCTCTCAGATGTACGCCTGTGTCTGCGACTGGCTGGGGTTCCCGTACAGGGAGGAAGTGCAGTGGGTGAGTGTGCCTGTGTGCAGTGTGCACACTCACAGACACAGATGCACAGCACACACCTGCTCACACTTATATAATCACTCACACACAACACCCTAATACACACACACACAACCCAATACACAACATACTCATACACACTCACATGCACACCCAGACACAGATGCACAACACACAGATGCACAACACACACCTGCTCACACTTATACAATCACTCACACACACAACCCAATACACAACATACACTCATACACACTCACATGCACACACAGACACAGATGCACAACACACACCTGCTCACACTTATACAATCACTCACACACAACACCCTCATACACACACACACAACCCAATACACAACATACACTCATACACACTCACATGCACACACAGACACAGATGCACAACACACAGATGCACAACACACTCCCGTTCACACTTATACAATCACTCACACACAACACACTCACAGACACACACACACTCCAGTACATACACACTCACACACACATACAACATACACTCATACACACTCACATGCACAGACACAGATGTACAACACACACCTGTTCACGCTTACACAATCACTCACAAACACATACACACTCACAGACACACGCTCACACAAACATACCACACACATTCATAAACACACAGAGACTCTTTCAGGGTCTGCCTGGCTTGTTTCTCTGTTTCCCACCCTTCGTTGTTGCTCACAGTCTTCCTTGCTCAGATCACGTCCGAATCCGCCCGTGTCGTTGTCTTGCTCCCCCCCCCCCGCGGACTGTTCACATGACTGCGCTGTTTCCAACAGGATGTGGACACAATCTATCTGACCCAGGACACCCGCGAGCTGAACCTGCAGGACTTCAGTCACCTGGACCACAGGTGAGGGCCCCCCCCCCCCCCCAGCTCGGAGCCCGCGGGGCGCCGACGGCGTGGATCTTGGCTGTTGTAAGAGCGCGGGCTTCGTTGTTTCTGCTTCCAGGGACCTGATCCCCATCATCGCTGCCCTGGAGTACAACCAGTGGTTCTCCAAGCTGTCCTCCAAGGACCTCAGGCTGGTGAGCGGGGGACGAGGCGCCTGGCGCGCGGGGAGGCTGGGTTTGAAACACCTGCCGATGGTCAGAAAAGTGGATTTGTTTTCCTGCCGAGCTGGCGCGCTGCCTACATGTGTATTTCTTGGGGAGCTTTTCCCCCAAAAGTGTTCTGTGTAACATTTTCTTATGGGGCGCGGCTACAGTGTTTTGGCCAGGTTCAAACCTCGGACTAATGAAAGGACGGGGTCCTCTCATTGCCACGTGCAAGTCCCAGCTGGAGGGCAGGACCCTCCCAGCACAATTAAGCTTGAACCTATGGTCCGAACACGTGGCCCCACGTGCCTTGTGATGAGTTCAGGTGCATGTAGTTGAGTGAGGTTGAAACCCAGGAGAACGCTGTGAACAACGTGATCACGCCCCTACTTTGCCTCGTGGCATCTGCTATAAAATAAAGACACGGCTTGTGGGCGCCGGCGCTGTCTCCTCATCAGGGAGCAGCGTCCCACCAAGACCCGGCTTTCATTCTCTTGTCTGTCTTTCCTTAATCCTTTCACCCCCCCCACCCCCCCACTCAGTTTACCTTTTGGCCGCAACATTTTCTAGTCTGTGAGCTGCTTTAGACAAGCACTGCCTCGCGTTTTCAGCTGCTTCGGGCGATTTGGACGATTCAGGCAGGAAAAACGCAGCGAGTGTGGCCTTGAGTGCCCACTCCTTCTGTTGGCAAAAACGACTCGGGCTTCGCCTGCACGGAGAGCAGACGTACGGTTCTGTCGCCTCCACGAAGCGCCCCTCCTGGGGACTTAGGGAGCTGTTACACCTGGGGGAGTCGTGAGAAGCAGCATGGATGGTCCAGATGACTTGAGGGGCACCTGTGTGTGTGAGCGGAATGAAAGCAAAGGGGACTCGTTAGTTCTCATAGGGCCCGGGGAGCCACTGCTTGTCTGTTTCCACAGGGCGGGTAGGTGCTCTGTGAGGCTGGTCTCTTCCAGGTGCCCGGCAGCCACGGGGCAGGGGCTCCTCCGAGAGCTGGCTGCCTGCTGCTTGCTCCATAGGCAGGAGATAACGCAGGTCTGTTAATGGCGCCTCTTTCATTCCAGCCTCCGACTCTCAGAAGTCAGAGGAACTTGTGGTTTAAGATTTCCATAGAGCCCTGGCCGGTGTTGCTCAGTGGATAGAGTGCCGGCCTGTGGACCAAAGGGTCGTGGATTTGATTCTGGTCAAGGGCAGGTACCTCGGTTGCAGGCTCCTCCCTGGCCGGGGCCCTGGTCGGAGCTTGTGCAGGAGGAAACCAATCGATGTGTTTCTCTCACATCGATGTTTCTCCCTGTCTTTCCCTCTCTCTTAGACTCTCTCTAAAAAGTCAATGGAAAAATATCCTTGGGTTAGGGTAAAAAAAAAAAAAAAAAAAAAATTTTCACAGTAGGGTTTGGATTGAGATGTACATCTGAGGAAAGTGGAGGTTGGACATCTGCGAGTGGACAGGCCACTGGGTCTGTGGATTGGCCTGGGGGTGAGTGACCTAAGGCGATATCAGTAGGAACATGGGCTGTGAACTATGGGGCCCTTTAGAGGCAGTGGGTGTGAGAAAAGAGACACAGACCCGGTTTTCAGAGTCTGACTCTTAGTACAAGGCCCTGTGACCTTAGATATGTTACTTGACCTTCGGGGCCTCAGCTTCCTGTGTACCTGTTGTCGGGAGCGAGTTGGAGCTCAGACCTTATGCATTGCTACCCAGTGCCGTTAGAGTGTGTGGCTCATAATAGCTACTCATTCAAATGGGTTTCATAAATGGGTGTTGAATGAATGAGTGTGCATATCAGTAAACTACTTGGCAGGTTACTGAGAGGCGTTTAGAAATTCAAACACAGTCACACATTACCATCACCACCATCATCACCACCATCACCATCATCACCACCATTATCACCATCACCACCACCAGCATCATCACCATCACCACCATCACCATCACCACCATCACCACCACCAGCATCACCACCATCACCACCAGCATCACCACCATCACCACCAGCATCACCACCACCACCACCAGCATCACCACCATCACCACCACCACCACCAGCATCACCACCACCAGCATCACCACCACCACCACCAGCATCACCACCATCACCATCACCACCACCAGCATCACCACCACCAGCATCACCACCACCACCACCACCACCAGCATCACCACCATCACCACCACCACCATCACCACCACCACCAGCATCACCACCACCAGCATCACCACCAGCATCACCACCACCAGCATCACCACCATCACCACCACCACCATCATCACCACCACCACCACCACCACCATCATCACCACCACCACCAGCATCACCACCACCATCACCACCACCACCATCACCACCATCACCACCATCACCACCATCACCACCACTATCACCACCATTCACCACCATCATCACTGCCCTTTAGTTTTTATTCTCCCTTTTGCATGTCATTTTCTTTGGGAATTCCTTTTTGTTTTCCCAAGACTGGGTGAACGTACCTCTGTGTGCCCAGACCGTGACCAAAAAGGCCTGTTTATTGTTCTGCCATAACTGTGTTCTCTTGTCCGACTCCCCTGCTGATGGCACAGTCTTGACGGTGGGGACTTTGTCCTTTATGCCACTGTCTCCCAGGACCTTCCTCGTGATGGGGCTCAGTTAGGTTTTCAGAATGAACGGACGTGTGCACGAACGGCTGACGTCATCACAGTGTGGCGCAGGCTGTGACAGTGACACGGGCGTGGTGGCAGGTGTGCGGTGCGGCTAACGCGTGGTTCTGTTGCAGTCCTCCGATGTCTGTGAGCAGATCCTGAGGGTGGTGAGCAGGTCCGGGCGGCTGGAGGAGCTGGTGTTGGAAAACGCTGGACTGAGAACGTGAGTATTTCCCTGCACGGGGGACTCCGGCTTTAGAACGTCTTGTCATTTCCTCTAAAGTTAAGATACAGTTAAGACGAAAAGGTGGGCTCCTCACATAGAGAACATCCTGTTTCCCTTCTTAAAAAAGCTCCCAGCGTCCCTCACATCGGCACCATGGCCACGGATTTCATAACCTCACTTGCCGTTGTGTCATGGGGCGTGTTTGGTGGTGCCTGGTGTGTGGGCCCTTGAGCCAGACACCTTGTGGCCTTGGGCAGTTTGGGCTCTCTGTGCCTCAGTCTCTGCGTCTTTGAAACGGACTTAATATTAGCACCTTCCTTATAAAATTACAGCTCAGGGTCAATGAGGTAGTTTATGGAAAGTGCTTAGGAAGCATCTTTCATGTTCTGGGTGCCGGTAGTGATCCGTGTCACTGACGGTAGTTGTAGTGACAGCCTACTGCAGGTTATTTTACCACTTTGCTTTGATCTGTTTGGCCATTGGCCTCCCTGTTCCGATTCACACTTACCTCGCCTGCACCTCGTGGTTCCGACATCCAGCCCCAAGCCTGTGTGGGGCGTGTGGGAGCGGGAATCTGCTGGAAAGAGGGCTCCACTGCTAAGTGGGGAGGGGTGGCAGTTTCATAACCACAGCCCTCAGTGCGTTATTTTAAGTGAAACACATCGGAAATAGCGATTTTAATTTTCATTAAAATATGGTGCTGGCAATTGCAGCCTTTAAACTCCACAATTAGAGCAGCTGGGTCTGCATTTGTGGGTGCTGCTCCACGTTATGGAGGGGCCGACGCATACTATCAACAGCGTCCTGAATGTGTCCATTTTTTACATGTATACCAGAGACCCGGTGCACGAAATTGGTGCATGGTAGGGTCCCTAGGCCTGGCCAGCGATCAGGGCTGACCGGGGCCTTCCTTCATTCCTCGCTGCCCCTGGTGGTCAGCGCACGTCATAGTGAGCGATCAAACTCCCAAGGGGACACTGCGTATTAGCCTTTTATATATAGAGAAAATACTTTTGTTGATTTCAGAAAGGAAGGAAGAAGGAGAGACAGAAACATCAATGATGAGAGAATCATTGACCCAGCACGCCCCACACTGGGGATTGAGCCCACAACCTGACAATGTGCCCTGACCGGGAATCAAGCTGTGATCTCCTGGTCCCTAGGTTGATGCTCAGCCACTGACCCACACAGGCCAGGCCTGAAATGTGTCTTTAATGGGGCAATGACAAGATTTTCTCTCTGCTTCGGAGTGAGGCGCTGGCCATCGGAATGAACCATGTTTGGGTGTGACTGCAGATTTTCTGATGAGGATTCATACCCTCATGTGGGGAATGGATTGGGTGCTAAGAAATATGCGACACCCGGTTCTGCTGGGAAGAAAGCGTCTCTGTCGCTTTGCCTCCAGCTGTTCCAGCTGTTCCAGCTGTGAGGGTGTGAGCCGTTCTGCACCTCGTGGTCCTTCCTCTCACTGTTGTGTTTGTCTGCAGAGATTTTGCACAGAAACTGGCCAGTGCGCTCGCACATAGCCCCGGCTCAGGACTGCACACCATCAACCTCGCTGGCAACGCGCTGGAGGACCGAGGTACCTGGCGTCTCGGGCCCGCGCTGCCGGCCGTGAGCGGGCGGGAGGTCACTGCAGCCAGGCCCGGGGAGGGGAGCAGACTGGCTGAGCTGTGATTACGGTCTTTCTTTCTTTTTTTAAAGTATATTTTTGTTGATTTCAGAGAGGAAGGGAGAGGGAGAGAGCAATAGGAACATCAGTGAGGAGAGAGAATCATTGTTCAGCTGCCCCCTGCACGCCCCACACTGGGGATCGAGCCCGGGACCTGGGCATGTACCCTGACCAGGAGTCAAACCCATGCCTCTTGGTTATAGGTCGATGCTCAACCCCTGAGCTGTGCCGGCCGGGCTGTGTTACGTTCTAAGGGCTGCTTTCGCTCTCGTCGGCTCCTGGCTCTCACCCCCCTTGGTGGGAATGCTCACCGTTGGCCGCCCCCGAGCGGGTGGCTGGGAATCCACAGGGCATCCAACGGAGCGGAAAATACTTATAGAAATCTCCATCGAGGGGAGCGCTGCTACGGATTTATTGAAGAACTCAGAAGCAGATTTGCACCAACATGAAAATTCTCATAATCCCCTTTTCTTCTTTCCTTTCTCAGGTGTGTCCTCGTTAAGTGTTCAATTTGCCAAACTCCCAAAGGGATTAAAACATTTAAATTTATCTAAAACCTCATTGTCACCTAAAGGTACTGTATATCTTATTAACTTTATGTCTGTGATGTTCTCTACCTTAAATAGTTAGAATCATTACTCAGTCCTATGTCTGCATTTAAATATACGTGTTACCGCCTGGCCGGGGGCTTGGTTGGAGCGCGTCCCGTACACCACAGGTTGCAGGTTCAGTTCCCAGTCAGGGCACATATACCTGGGTTTTGGGTCCAGTCTCTGGTTGGGGCACATATGGGAGGCAACCAATCCATGTTTCTTTCTCTCTCTCTTTCTCTGTCTCTCTCTCTCCCCTTCCTTCCTCGCTCTCTAAAAATCAATGAAAACATATCCTCGGGTGAGGATTAAAAGACTAATAAAATAAAGTAAAATACAGGGTGTCCCCCGAGATGTGTACACACTGACTAATTACAGAGGCAGTGTTTGTGGCACACATCGCATTTTCACAATCGGGACCAGAGGTTGATGTGCGTGTGCACTTTTCCTACTTCCCTTTGTTTCCTGAGTGACTCGGACCACTTCTCCAGCGCTCAGCACGGCTGCCGTATCAGCAGCAACCTCCCTGCTTACATATTTTTAAAGATAGTTTTTTATTGATTTCAGAGAGGAAGGGAGAGGGAGAGAGGGATAGAAACATCAGCAACGAGAGAGAATCATGGATCAGCTGCCTCGTGCATGCCCCCTTCTGGGGATCGAGCCCACAACCCGGGCCTGTGACCTGAGCAGGAATCGAACCGTGACCTCCTGGTTCATAGGTAGACGCTCAACCACTGAGTCACGCCTGCCGGACAAAACAGTTTTTAAAAGCGTTCCTTGTTCTTACAGCTTCCAAATAACTCGGATGAAGGGGTCCTTGTAAGCTTTTTGTGCAATTTGCCCGGCATTTGTATTTCAGTTCCGGGAAAGATGGATAGGCACAGCCCCTAATTCGAGAGAGATTGTTGCTTCACCTCCCCACGCCGCCCCTCTGAAGTTGGCGGGAGGACGGTTCACAGGCTCCTGGGGCCTGTCCTGTCGGCTGCCAGGCCTGGGCGCGGGCCATCTGCCGCCCTCGCTCCAGCTGCACAGCCTCCAGCGCTAACGCACACACCCATGCGGCGCGGCGCTCTGCGCTCAGTGGGGCTGGGAGCGGCCTGGCTCCGTCCATCCTGTGTTTGGATTTCCTGCTGCTCCTGTGCCCATGAGCCCGGCCTCCCGTGGAGGGGCCTCGGGAGGGGCGGGGAGCCTTGTCCTGCCAGCGACATGACACTGGGCGCGAGGCTCCCGGAGTCGGGCAGATGTTGGCCGCCCGCCAAGCGCCGGCGCCTGCCAAGGGGGCGTTGTGCTGTGGAGACCAATCCAACCTGTTCCTTTTTGGAATTTATTTGTTAAGGTTGTCAGACCTCACTGAGGACATGGTTTTGCATGATTTTCTTGATGAGAGTGGTGTTCTCTGTATGTTTTGGACTCAGTTGTTCCGTTACGGAACATATATGAACAGTCCCAGCAGCAGGGTGGCTGCAGGAGGCTGGCCATTCACAGGCATGGGAACCTTCTGTCTGCCGGGGGCCATGTGGATATTTATATTTATATTTTTATTTTATTTTTATTGATTTCAGAGAGGAAGGGAGAGGGAGAGAGAAATAGAAACATCAGTGATGAGAGAGAATCACGGATCAGCTGCCTCCTACACTCCCCACACTGGGGATCGAGCCTGCAACCTGGGCATGTGCGCCGACCGGGAATCGAACCGTGACCTCCTGGTTTATAGGTTGACACTCAACCTCTGAGCCAAGCCAGCCAGGCCCATTTGGATATTTATAACATTCGTGGGCCATACAAAATGATCAACTTAAAAATTACCTGCTCTGTTTGGTCAAATTATGTAATTAACTCACCCCTGGGCAGAGCGAGGCCAAATGATTTCTCGCGACTTCTACGGCCCGCGGGCTGGACGTTCCCCACCGGTTTAAACATCACAGGTGTTGCCTCCAGACAGCAAGCTCTCCTCGGCCTTTGCAGGTTCCTGATCTGACAAACTAGTCAGATCCGTGCCTCTCAGGGCCAGAGCCTCTCTGCTCTCACTGCCTCTCGCTGGCCCAGCTGCGGGAGGCTGACAAATGGCTGGGGTCCCGGAGCCCATGCTGTCCTGGGGGAGGGGGGTGCTGTCCTTCAGGATCTGAGGGTCTGTCGCAGTGAACCCTCAAGAAGCTCTGACCTCCTCCTGGACTTGAGCTTCCGGGACTGTCTGGGCACCGGATGGGCTGTTACATGACCCGACCCCAGCTTGTATAAACATTTCGTGCGCACTTCATGAGCGCGGGGCGGATGGCCGCGACGTTCCTCCCTGAACCTCAGTGAAGTGTTCCTCTGCCCCCGTCTCCTCTGCGCGCCGAGGGCGGACTCGCGCTGAGCAGTGGCTGCGGGACTTTTTCGACACACCCCGGCGTCGCTTGCTTGTAACTCTCAGTCTTCGCTCCGAGCGAGTGGAGCGAGCGTCTCCGGGCTCCGGCGGGCCTGGCCCTGCCCTTGTCCTGGCCGAGGCAAAGGATAAAGCCCCCTTTCGTTTCTCTTCAGGGGCAGCCTGGGATAGCCAAGAATTTACTGCAAAATTAGAAGCAACATCATCTGTAAAAGTATATTCCATTTAGCCCAGCAGGCATGGCTCAGCGGTTGAGTGTTGACCTATGAACCACGAGGTCACGGTTCGATTCCTGGTCAGGGCTCAGGCCCGGGTTGCCGGCTCCATCCCCAGTCCCTGGGCCTGATCCCCAGTGTGGGGTGTGCAGAAGGCAGCCGGTCAAATAAATGTATTTTGAAAAGTATACTCAATTTAGAAATAGCCGTATTTCCAAATTACACAGTGAGAACCTTGGAGTTTTAGTAAAAACACAAAACGCTTCGTAATAGCCCATGTCCTGTGATCTGAAGAATGATTACGATTCTCTGACCTCTACTGACCCCAGCGAGTGAGCAGAATGTTCTGGGCTCCCCATTGGTGACCCCGCCCAGACCCTGAGCCGTGATAAGGAGGGCAGGTTAAGCCCCTGCCCCCGCCCCTGCCCAGCTCGCAGGCCTGCCTCCCAAGGGCTCTCCCCTCACGTGGCTCTCTGCCCCCTGGGGCCCCTCTTGGTTTCCTTGTCTTTGATTTCAGAGAGGAAGGGGGCGGAGAGAGAGACGTCAGTGATGAGAGAGGGTCACTGATCGGCTGCCTCCTGCACACCCCCCGCTGGGGAAGGAGCCTCCAACCCGGGCCTGTGCCCTGCCTGGGACTCGAACCCTGACCTCCTGGTTCATAAGTCAATACTCAACCACTGAACCACATCGGCTGGGCCTAGGTCTCATTTTGTTTCCTGGACATTGAGCCGAATCTTCTCGCTGTTTCAGGGGTGAACTGCCTTTCTCAGTCACTCAGTGCCAACCCGCTGACCGCCACCACCCTCACGCACCTGGACCTCTCAGGGAACGCCCTTCGCGGAGACGACCTCTCGGTGGGTGCCCGCCGTGGCCAGCGCTGCACCCTGTGAGCCTGGGGAGTGTCTGACGGGCTTTCTAGCCCGTGGCCCCCGTCTCCTTGAGCGGGGCGCCCTCGCCTCGTTTCATCCTGAGCTCGGGAAGTGTTTATAGGAAGTTTCAGAGCCTTCCTTAATTAAAGTCGCGCAGGGGTGAGGGGAGGCGTTAGGCCTTGCGACCCCCCAAGACCCGGCGTGTCTTAGCTGCACAGGACCTTCAGAACGAGAACGTGAACAGGACTGTCGAGGGCTCTCGTTGGATTGGGCGGTCACCAGGGATGGGAAGGTCATTGCGTTGGACAGAGAGGGGAGCCCGGGGGGAGCCCGAGACCTCCTGTGGTTCAGGGTCACATTCGCGGTCCTTACTCCGCTCCCTGTTCACCGCGACGGCCACCAGGCGGCTGCGTCTCCCGCGGAAGGTCGTCCGCTCCGGAATGACGACACGGAGCCAACCAGGCAGCTGGGTCACGTGCGGCAGCGGGAGCTGCAGCCGAGTTTCCATCGGCCTTGTTTTTGCTGACGCATAATTTAACTCTTTGGATTTTTATTTATTTACTTATTTGTCTCCCAAGGAAGACAATATAATGACATATGAAATTCTGCTAATTCTCTTGGGAAAACTGGAGGAGGATTCTGGGAGATTTGGGCAAATCGATGTTGAGTATTAACTTGCAGAGTGTGTGTGTGTTTCTAGATCCTAACGTGTTTGCTGCTTGTTTTTGATTTCAAGCCCATGTACAGTTTTCTGGCCCAGCCCAACGCCCTTACTCACCTGGATTTATCCAGCACCGAGTGCGCCCTGGACATGGTAATGGCTTTCCTTGCTGGGGGAGGTTTGAGGGCTTTCTCACTGATGCGCCCCTCGGCCCCGGCCCCTGAGACACCCTGCCCTCGCCCCGCAGGTCTGCGCGGCTCTGCTCCGAGGCTGCCTGCAGCACCTGGCCGTGCTCAACCTCTCCCGCACCGTCTTCTCTCACCGGTAGGGCCGCGTGCTGCGGGCGCTCTCTTTCAGGGAAGCGTGTTGTGCTGTGGCCACGGCGTGATAACGGGCGATGCTTCTCGGGAAGGAAGGCGCCTGAGGTCACTGTTCTCAGAGCACCAGGCCCGGAGGGTCAGGTGTCCGGTCTCCCCCGAGTGGGATGCTCTTGTCCGTGAGGCCGGCCGCCGTGAACTGAGCGAGGAGGGGTGTCTCACCTGGGGCAGGCGCTGTGGCCCAGGGAGGGCTTCCCACGGCTCAGCTTCTCGGACAACCTTCCTCTAACTTAATCAGCTTACGGACATTTTGTTTCTTTTTAAAAAATAGTTTCTTTATTGATTTCAGAAAGAAAGGGAGAGGGAGGGAGAGAGAAATATCAGTGGTGAGAGAGGATCTTGGATCGGCTGCCTCCTGCACGCCCCACAATGGGGATTCAGCCTGCAACCTGGGCCTGTGCCCTGACAGGGAATCGAACCCTGACCTTGTGGTTCATAGATCAACTCAACCACTGAGCCACACTGGCCGGGTCATTTTTTTCTTCTTCTTTATTTTATCTTTAAATTTCTACTGAAAAGATCGCTGATTTGTGGGTTATTTCAGAGTCTGTGAACACGTGCTTGGCCTTTTGGGAGTCGGGTGCTGACTTGCAGGGGTGACCCCAGGTGACCTGTGTCTGTCTTTCAGGAAAGGGAAGGAGGTGCCGCCCTCCTTCAGGCAGTTTTTCAGCAGTTCCCTGGCGCTGACGCACATCAACCTCTCGGGCACCAAGCTGGCGCCCGAGCCCTTAAAGTGAGTGGTTTGCGCGTTTTCTCCGCAGCTGTTCCAGTCCCGCTGGTGGGTGTCAGCGTGTGGGGAGGGGCAGACGCAGATCCCCAAGGCCCACGAGCCCGACGGGTGTCTTTTCACTTTGGGGCACAGAAGGAAATGATTCATTTTTAAAAAATGCATCTTGATTTCAGAGAGGAAGGGAGAGGGAGAGAGAGAGAAACATCAATGATGAGAGAGAATCATGGATGGGCTGCCTCCTGCACACCCCCTACTGGGGGTGGAGCCTGCAACCCGGCCATGTGCCCCAATGGGTAATCGAACCCGGGACCTCCTCGTTCATAGGTCAACGCTCAACCACTGAACCACACCAGCTGGGCACATTGAGTGGAAGGGAGGAAGAGAGGGAGTGAGGAAGAGAGAGAGAGAGAGAGAGAGATTGGACATCGATCTGTTGCCTCCCTTACGTGCCCCGACCAGGGATTGAACCTGCAACCTGGGTGTGTGCCCAGGGAATCGGACCCACCACCTTTGGGAGTGTAGGGGGACCCTCCAACCAACCGAGCCGCCGGCCGGGGCAGCAGTGTCATTGTCAACCGGGAGGTGGTGCTTGGGCTGGCCGGGCCCCAGCGTCCTCCGGGCTCCATTCGGGGTGCATCTGGGCTCCATTCGGGGGCCCCCGACCTGCCCAGTGACGTGTGGCCTGGCCTGTCCCTCCGCAGGGCGCTGCTGCTCAGCCTGACCAGCAACCGCAGCCTGAAGGCCGTCTCCCTCGACCTCAGCAGCTGCGAGGTAAGGGCGCCGGGGCTGCCCTGTTCGCCTTCTTCCTGGGAAGAGCTCAGGCTGTGGCTCCAGCATCACCAAAGCAGAGACACGCGTCAGGGAAGGTCTGGGTTCCGCTCTGTGGGTTTGATCCAAACACCACGGGCCCCATCACAGAGCATCCATGTGGGCTTTTCATGATTAAAAAAAATCCCCACTTTCTGCCCAGCGGCTTCCGTCTTCTAGGAGACACAGTGAACACGGCCTTCCCTGCAGGCGACCACGGGGCACCACGCGCTTGAACCCAGAGCGCGGAAGGAGAAGGGCACGTGCACTTCAAGGGCTTCCGTCCGTTCGCAGCCCTGGGAGAGCTGCAGCCGGGGGGACCTTCGGCCCCAGATAACCGGGGCGTGTAGCCCACGGTCCTGGCACCTGGAGAGCCGTGGCTTTCCTAGTCACGTGTCTGAGTTTTGTCTCGGGAGCACACTTTAGTTGGAAGTCTTTTTCTGACTCTTCGAGTTTAAATTGTGTATCGATAGAGACGTGAGCTTCTTGATTCTCAGCGACTCACAGCCGGTAACAGGTTTGTTTTCTCTCCCTGGCTTCCGGCAGCTGGGCCTCTGTGTAAGTACCCGGCGGGCCGCTCACTAGCCTGCGCCGACAGGAGTCCGTTTGACAGTTGGAAAATGTGACTTTTATGGGGAAAGGCCACGGGTGGTATCTTGTTAAGAGTTTTTATAAAATAGATGGCGTCGAGCGCTCACATGTCACCTGGAGTTCCCATATTTGTAAATGAAACGTTTTCACTGCACTTTATAGAAAGTAGAGGTTTTCCTGTAAAAAATTCACTTCCCAACAGAGGAGTCACCAACAGCAAGTAATAGAATTGTAAAGACTCGGGCACCTTTGTTAGATTCTCGGACACACAGTTCTTTTTCATGCTCTGAAAATCAAGTTACGTTTCTTTGATGTGTTTGCCTAAGTTATTTCTTGTTTTAACTGTGACATCGTCTGTGCACACATTAACGCGAGTGTTACCGAGCTGGGACCTGGAGCCGTGCTCCTCAGAGCTGTGGGTTGTGAAGAACCTGTTGTTGATTTTTAGCTTCCAGTCTAGTGTAAATCGGCGTTTTTGCAAAAATTTAAAAGGACCCTAGGAAGTACTTTATTTTTAATTTTTATATGTAACTTTGATTTCAGGGAGGAAGGGAGAGGGAGAGCGAGAGAGAAACACCAGTGATGAGAGAGAACCGTTGGTCCACTGCCTCCTGCACCCCCCCTGGGATCGAGGCCGCCACCGGGCACAGGGCTGGAATCAGACCCAGGACCCTCCAGTCCGCAGCCGACGCTCTGTCCACTGAGCCAACCGGCCAGGGCTGCTTTGCTGCTTTTCTAAAGGTTGTGGTTGATGTGAAGTGGGAGACGGCAGCAGTGACGAGTGTCGCTCTTCACCACCCGTGATCGCGTCTGTGACGTTTCTAAGTTGGTGCCGAGTTTAAGACGCGGCGCCTGTGTCTGAGGTTTTGGCTACGCCTCCCGGGTGACTGTACCTTGTGTCCATCTGTCTGTCCAGCTGAGGTCAGGAGGCGCACAGGTGTTGGAGGGCTGCATCGCCGAGATCCACAACATCACCAGCTTGGACATCTCCGACAACGGTGAGCGGCCGCGGGGAGGGGGTGGATGGCGGGTTCTCGGAAGCAGGTGAGTGACGGGGACGCACCTTCCAGCCCGAACTGGGCGGCATCCGTCTGTGGAGATGTGGCCCGCCTGGTCTGCTGGGCCTCTTACATCTGACATTGGAGTTTACTTATGGGACAAACCTGTGCCCCGGTCTCACTGAGCTGATCCTGGAGCCCACAGTGCAAGGTCTGGGCGGGAAAGGAAAAAGCTCAGCCCTGGTCGGTGTTGCTCTGTGGGTAGAGCGCCTGCTCTCGGACTGAGGGTCCCGGGTTCGATTCCAATCAAGGGCACGTACCTGGGTACTTGGGTGGCAGATGATCCCTGGCCCTGGTGAGGCGCTTACAGGAGGCAACCAATCGACAGTCTTTCTCACATCAATGTCCCCTCTCCGTCTCTCTCCTCCCACCCATTCTCTCTAAAAATCAATGGAAAGATGTCCTTGGGGAAGGATTAACAACATCAAGGCACACACAGAACAGACAAAAGCCAGTTACAGTCTCGGGCCCAAGATGAAGAGCTCAGCCTCTGGGCTCTTGGTGGAGGGAGATCAGGTTGAGCCCTGGCGGGTGTGTCCGGAGCGTGTTCCCGGCGTGTTCCCGCGGATGCTCGCGGCCTGAGCAGTTTGCACAGACACCGCACTCACTGGTGGGGAGCGCTGAGTCTCACCAGGATGGGAGCTTGGGAGCCACCTGCCGTTCTCCACTCCCAACCCCACTGACCTCATCCCCCACGGGCTGTGCAAGGGACTATGGAGGAGGATTTTTTTTTTTTTTTAATTTTTATTGTTGAAAGTATTACAGACCTCCTTTCCCCCCGCATTGGCCCCTCCAGCCCAGCCATGCCCCAGGCCCTCACTGCCCCCACCCATTGTCTGTGTCCATGTTTTTATTGATTTCAGAGAGGAAGGGAGAGGGAGAGAGAGAGAAACATCAATGATGAGAATCACTGATCGGCTGCCTCCTGCACGCCCCACACTGGGGACCGAGCCCGCAACCCAGGACTGTGGCCCAACCGGGAATCGAACCGGGACCTCCTGGTTCATAGTCCATTGCTCAGCCACTGAGCCCCGCTGGCCGGGCTGGAGAATGAGTGTAGGGGTTTATCCCTGGGAAATAAGAGGGTAGAGGGGGAGCACAGCGTTCCCTTGCGGAGACGAGGACCCAGGCCCTCGGGGAGCCGCCCTTGCGGGATTGCGTTCCACTGAGCATCGTCTGCCGCGTCCTGACCCTCGCCCCTCTCCCAGGCTTGGAGTCCGACCTCTCCACCTTGATCGTGTGGCTCAGCAGGAACAGGTCCGTACGGCACCTGGCCTTGGGCAAGAACTTCAACAACATGAAACCCAAGTAAGAGTTCTGGGCTGTTGCTGTGATGGGGACGGACGCAGCCTCCTGGACCCGTGGGCTGATCTCTGCCACCTCTTGGTCTCTTTAGAAACCTGACCCCCGTGCTGGACAGCTTAGTGCAGATGATTCAGGACGAAGAGTCGGTGAGGGTTCCTCTAAAACGCCCGCCTCGGGTCTGCTGCCGTTCTCATTATTTCCTCTGGGTTAATGGTCAGAGGCTTCCAGGTCATTTATTCTGGGCACACGTTTTCTATCATTTGAAAAAAAATGGAATAAATTGTTAGGCTTTGGCATGGCGATAGGAGACATTTAAAGTTTACTTGCTCTTCCCTTGATTCCACTCATGACAAATTAAAGGAAGATTGTAACGAACAGAGATGGACTCCTAAGCTCATCTCTTTAAAAAAAAAATGATTGATTTCAGAGCGGAAGGGAAAGGAAGAGAGAGACGTCAATGATGAGAGAGAAACATTGATTGGCTGCCTCCTGCGCACCCCACACTGGGGATGGAGCCCGCCACCTGGGCCTGTGCCCCAACCTCGAATTGAACTGACCTGGTTCACAGGTCGATGCTCAACCACGGAGCCCCTCGTGGGGCTGAGCCCATCTTTAATGTGCTAAGACAGTGGTCGGCAAACTCATTAGTCAACGGAGCCAAATATCAGCAGTACAACGATGGAAATTTCTTTTGAGAGCCAAATTTTTAAACTTAAACTATATACGTAGGTACATTGTTATTAACTAGGGTACTCCTAAGGCTTAGGAAGAGCCACACTCAAGGGGCCAAAGAGCCGTATGTGGCTCGCGAGCCGCAGTTTGCCGACCACAGTGCTCAGATGTTGTGTAGCCTCTTCGTTATGTCATCCTTTCAGAGTTGGCACCGGCCTCTCTCGGTGTCGCCCCGGCTTTCCTTCAAGGGGAGGTGCCCGTCCGTGTTCCCAGCGTCTCGTGGCCGAGTTTACAGAGGAGGCCTCCGCACAGCGGGTCCTCCCAGTGGTTCTCCGTCCGAGACGAGCCGTGTGCTGTCCCCCCGTAGCCTCTGCAGTCCTTGTCCCTGGCCGACTCCAAACTCAAGACCGAGGTCACCATCATCATCAACGCCCTGGGCAGCAACACGTCCCTGACCAAAGTGGACATCAGCGGGAATGCCATGGGCGACATGGGCGCCAAGATGCTGGCCAAAGCGCTGCAGATCAACACCAAGCTCAGGTGCCCGCCAGGGTGACTGGGGGTGGGGGGCGGGCAGGAGGGGGGGGACAGTTTTTATCTTTTGTCAAAATACCGAGAGGGTGTTCCCAGATTTATTTATTTTTTAAAATATATTTGTATTGATTTCAGAGAGGAAGGGAGAGAGAGAAACATCCACGATGAGAGAGTATCATGTACCAGCCGTGTCCTTCACGCCCCCCACTGGGGATGGAGCCCACAACCCGGGCCTGTGCCCTGACCTGGAATCGAACCGTGGCCTCCTGGTTCATAGGTTGCTGCTCAACCGCTGAGCTGTGCCGGCTGGGCTTGCTCCCAGATGTGGACAGTGATTCCTCCCAGCCTTTGTGGGAGAGGTTTCTGCTGGAGGGGGCACCTGCCGAGAGCTGTGGGGGCTCCTTTCACGTCCGTGCTGATGTGACCGAGTGGGGCGGGCAGTGAACGCTGGTGGGCAGGGCCCGGCGAGCAGAGCCGGGGAGGCGGCAGGAGTGACGGGGCTCCCGCTCAGGTGTGAGCCCAGCCTCCTGGCCTCCCCTCCCCGGACCTGCCACTGAGGAGAAGCCAGCCAGGGGCCGGGTCCACGGCTCAGAGCGAGGACCATTCCCCTCGGTCACGTGACGCGTCGTCCGAAAGCACCCAGACGGGCCCACAGAGCTTCCTCGTCATGGGAGGCCTGGTCCCTCCCCTCCGAGTGTCTCATTATCTATGTGGTTCCTTTCCAAACAGGACGGTGATCTGGGACAAGAACAACATCTCTGCTCAAGGCTTTCAGGACATAGCCGTGGCCATGGAGAAGTGAGCGCTCGGGGATTCCTCCTGGGAGACAGTCACACCAGGTCCCCGAGCCCGGGGTGTCCCTGAGCCCTGAGGTGTCCCTGAGCCCGGGGTGTCCCTGAGCCCGGGGTGTCCCTGAGCCCGGGGTGTCCCTGAGCCCCGGGTATCCCTGAGCCCGGGGTGTCCCTGAGCCCGGGGTGTCCCTGAGCCCGGGGTATCCCTGAGCCCCGGGTATCCCTGAGCCCGGGGTGTCCCTGAGCCCCGGGGTGTCCCTGAGCCCCGGGTATCCCTGAGCCCGGGGTGTCCCCGAGCCCGGGGTGTCCCTGAGCCCCGGGGTGTCCCTGAGCCCCGGGTATCCCTGAGCCCCGGGGTATCCCTGAGCCCCACGGTGTCCCTGAGCCCGGGGTGTCCCTGAGCCCCACGGTGTCCCTGAGCCCCACGGTGTCCCTGAGCCCGGGGTGTCCCTGAGCCCGGGGTGTCCCTGAGCCCCACGGTGTCCCTGAGCCCCGGGTGTCCCCGAGCCCGGGGTGTCCCCGAGCCCGGGGTGTCCCCGAGCCCGGGGTGTCGCCGAGCCCGGGGTATCCCTGAGCCCCGGGTATCCCTGAGCCCCGGGGTGTCCCTGAGCCCGGGGTATCCCTGAGCCCCACGGTGTCCCTGAGCCCGGGGTGTCCCTGAGCCCGGGGTATCCCTGAGCCCCACGGTGTCCCTGAGCCCCACGGTGTCCCTGAGCCCGGGGTGTCCCTGAGCCCGGGGTGTCCCTGAGCCCCACGGTGTCCCTGAGCCCCACGGTGTCCCTGAGGCCTGGGGTGTCCCTGAGCCCCACGGTGTCCCTGAGCCCGGGGTGTCCCCGAGCCCCGGGTGTCGCCGAGCCCGGGGTATCCCTGAGCCCCGGGGTGTCCCTGAGCCCCGGGGTGTCCCCGAGCCCCGGGTGTCGCCGAGCCCGGGGTATCCCTGAGCCCCGGGGTGTCCCCGAGCCCCGGGTGTCGCCGAGCCCGGGGTATCCCCGAGCCCCGGGGTGTCCCCGAGCCCCGGGTGTCGCCGAGCCCGGGGTATCCCTGAGCCCCGGGGTGTCCCTGAGCCTCGGGGTGTCCCTGAGCCCCGGGGTGTCCCTGAGCCCCGGGTGTCGCCGAGCCCCGGGTGTCGCCGAGCCCGGGGTATCCCTGAGCCCCGGGTATCCCTGAGCCCCGGGTATCCCTGAGCCCCGGGGTGTCCCTGAGCCTCAGGGTGTCCCTGGGTTCCAGGGTGTCCCTGAGCCCCACGGTGTCCCTGAGCCCCACGGTGTCCCTGAGCCCTGGGGTGTCCCTGAGCCCTGGGGTGTGGTGGGCATAGCTGTGGCTGGGACTCGCAGGCAGGGCCGAGCTGGTCTCACGCGTGGCCTGGTGTGAGTCTGTATGTGGGCGCATGCCCAATGCTGCTTCCTCCTCCCGCGGCCTCACAGTCTGTCTCCACGGTGCTGCCTTCTGTCCCGTGAAGGCAGCTCTGCACCCAGGGGGAGAGGAAGCTGATACCTGGAGGGACGATGCCGTGGGCGGACAGCAGGCCTGTGGCTCTCAGGGCGACGGGAGGCGGGGAAGGAAGCCACTCCAACCGCTTTCCTTTTCTGAAAATTAAATATGTATTTGTTGATTTCAGAGACAAAGGGAGAGAGAGGGAGAGAAACGTCAGTGGTGAGAGAGAATCTTGGGTCGGCGGCCTCCACACCGGGGGTCGAGCCCACAACCCAGGCCTGGGCCCTGATAGGAATTGAACTGTAACCTGGTTCCTAGGTCGACGCTCAGCCACTGAGCCCTGCCGGCCTGGCAGGAAGTTATTTTTAAATAAACATGACGCTCCTTTTCGTAGGAACTACACGCTGCGATTCATGCCAATCCCCATGTACGACGCCGCCCAAGCCCTCAAGACGAACCCCGAGAAAACGGAGGAGGCTCTGCAGAAGGTACAAGGAGCCGGCAGCCGGGTTACTGTGAACGCACATTCGCTCGGAATCGCATTCATACGTCCGACATACGAGCAGCTCTTGTCCTTACAAAGCGCTGTTCACATGGGCCTGTGTTCTCAGGACCCCGGCGGGCACAGTGCCTGATGGGGGAGGGAGCGGCATCAGCTCCTGAGCCGTGACAGTGACTCTGGTTCCTACGAGTTCCATTCCTCCCTCAGTCCAGCCGGCGTGGCTCAGGGGCTGAGCATCGACCTGTGAACCAGGAGGTCACGGTTCCTTTTCTAGTCGGGGCACAGGCCCGGGTTGTGGGCTCCATCCCCAGTGGGGGGCGTGCAGGAGGCAGCCGATCCATGACTCTCTCATCATGGATGTTCCTCTCCCTCTCCCTCTCCCTTCCTCTCTGAAATCAATAAAAATATATTTTTAAAAAAGAGCAGTGCTTCACGGTGAGGCAGGCACCGCTCCCAGTCCTGGGGTCGGGGCGCTGGGGGGCGTGGAGCTCGTGCTCTGGTTCCGTGTCGCCTGACTGGGTCGCGCTGTGACCCTGAGAGGCACGTGCTTTGTTTCCAGATAGAAAACTACCTGCTCCGGAACCACGAGACCAGGAAGTACCAGCAGGAGCAGGCCTACCGCCTGCAGCAGGGCATCGTCACCAGCACCACCCAGCAGGTGGGCCCAGTGCCGCCCGAGGGCTCCCTGCCAGGCGCTCCGGGGGGGGGGGGGGGGGCGGGGAGACCGGGCTGAGGCTCCTACCCAGCAGATGCGGTGCCGACGCCGCGAGCCGCCTCCTCACTGTGCTGTGTTTCCTCCCGCCGGCCCGCGGCGTCCTTCCCCCGTGCGGGCAGATGATCGACAGGATGTGCGTGAAGGTCCAAGATCACCTCAACTCCCTGCGCAGCTGTGGGGGGGATGCCGTCCAGGAGGACATGAGGTCGGCCGAGCGGCTCATGCGGGACGCCAAGAACTCCAAGACGGTGAGTTTCAGCTCGGGCTGCGCAGGCGTCTTAGGCGCTAAAATGGTGTGTTAAACGTCAGGGTTGGAAAATAGTTCCAGCTTCCTTTTTAAAAAATATATATTCTTATTGATTTCAGAGAGGAAGGGAGAGAGAGAGAAACATCAGAGATGCGAGAGAATCATGGATCGGCTGCCTCCTGCACGCCCCCGACGGGGGATGGAGCCCCCAGCCTGGGCATTTCCCTGACCAGGAATCGAACCCTGACCTCCTGGTTCATAGATGGTGCTCACCCACTGAGCCGGCCGCTGGGAGCACGGCCCCCGTCAGCCCTCAGGGAGGATCTAGTCCCGGCTCTGCTGAGTCCCCCCACAGTGACTGCTCCGAGCGGGAGGGACCCTGGGGCTCAGGCAGGTCCCCTCAGGCCCGTGAGGACCCGGCGCGAGGGAGGCGGTCCCTGCGGCTCCAGCTGGGCCTCCGTTGGCATCTGTGCGAAGGGCCATCGATCGGCACGGCCACCCCTTCCCGCCCCCTCGTACTCGCCCCCGGACGCTGGTGCTCAGGCCGTGTCCCCTCGCTGTGGACGGCCTCTCCCTTCCTTCCAGCTGCTGCCGAACTTGTACCACGTGGGCAGTGCGTCCTGGGCAGGAGCCGGCGGCCTGCTGTCCAGCCCCGTGCAGGAGACGCTGGAGTCCATGGCCGGGGAGGTCACAAGGGTTGTCGACGAGCAACTAAAGGTTCGTGCCTCCTGCCCCTTTGGAGAACGACGTGGTCACGGCTGCCTGTGTATGGGCCGTGTGTGTGCGTGTGTGTGTGTGTTCACCTATCCACCCACATGCATAGGCCGTGTGTGTGTGTGCGTGTATGTGTGTGTTCACCTATCCACCCACACGCATAGGCCGTGTGTGTGTGTGTATGTGTGTGTTCACCTATCCACCCACACACATAGGCCGTGTGTGTGTGTGTATGCGTGTTCACCTATCCACCCACACGCGTAGGTCGTGTGTGTGTGTGTGTATGTGTGTGTTCACCTATCCACCCACACGCATAGGCCGTGTGTGTGTGTGTATGCATGTGTTCACCTATCCACCCACACGCATAGGCCGTGTGTGTGTGTGTGTGTGTGTGTGTGTGTGTTCACCTATCCACCCACACGCATAGGCCGTGTGTGTGTGTGTGTGTTATGCGTGTGTTCACCTATCTACCCACACACATGGGTGGCAAACATGGACGACTGTGCCTTTTCAGCTTCCTTGATACGTTTTGGAATGACTCCTTATAGGATGAGATTGAGAAAACCTATCAATTCCTTTTTGTTTTTTTTAATCCTCACCCGAGGATATTTTCCCATTGATTTTAGGGAGAGCGGAAGAGAGAGGGAAAGACAGAGAGAAACATTGATGTGAGAGAAACACATCGATTGGTTGCCTCCTGCAGGCGCCCTGACCAGGGCCCGGGCCAGGGAGAAGTCTGCAACCGAGGTACATGCCCTCGACTAGAGTCGAACCCGGGACCCTGCATTCTGCAGGCTGACGCTCTACCCACGGAGACACACCGGCCAGGGCTCCATTTTGGTTTTTTGTGTGTTTTTTAATGTGGACTAATGATTTATTCAAATGAGAAGTGCTGTTTTGTACTTTAACTAAAGTACACCAAAGTTTCCTAGTTCACTGCCCAAAACTCAACATATATATTTTTTATCTTTAATTTCTTTATTGGTTAAGGTATTATCCATTTTGTTTTTGATGGGACATTTCCACATGACCATGACCTAGGACGGATCCCACTGATGAGGGAATGATCCGTGTCTGGTGCGAGGCAGAGAGTGGGGGTCGGCTTTCGGAAAACCTGTCGTCTGTGGTTGCACGCGACGGAGAGCGCGGGAGGCTGAGCGCGGGAGGTGACAGGTGCCCCGTGTCGCCTCGCCCTCACTGCGCTGCGTTGCAGGCCCTGCTGGGGTCCATGGTGGACGCGGCCGAGAGCCTGTGCCCCCACGTGATGAGGAAGGCCCACATCCGGCAGGACCTGATCCGCGCCGGCTCCGAGAAGCTCTCCGTGCCCCGCACCTTCGTGAAGAACGTCCTGCTGGAGCAGTCGGGCGTGGACATCCTCAACAAGATCAGGTGAGCGCCGCGGCCTGTGGACCCGGGCAGGGGGCGGGTCACAGTTCCATTCCCGGTCGGGGCACAGGCCGGGCTGCGGGCTCCATCCCCAGTGGGGGGCGTGCAGGAGGCAGCCGGTCCATGATTCTCTCTCATCATGGATGTTTCTATCTCCCTCTCCCTTCTCGGAAATCAATGCAAGTATATATTAAAAACATATGTCAATATTTTAAAAAAGATGTGACATTGAGAAGGTGCGGTCAGCAAGGCCCTGTCCTGGATTTTTGCGCTGAGACTGCAGCGATCGGGAGCCTCACAGGGAAGCTGAGCTCAGTCTCACTCCGTTTCTCACTTGGAGACTCAGGATCAGGAACCGACTTCAGAAACACGTGACTTTTCATTTTAACCGTTTCTGAATCTTGATGAGAACATTGAGGGGCCGCAGACGCCAGCTTTTTCCTGAAAAGCTGGGCGTTGAGCTAACATAGCGATGTCGCTAAGTGAGAGCCGGCCAGAAAAATGAGGGAAAAACAAAATAAGCCCCAAGTCAAGTCGTCGCCGTGGAGAACCCAAGGCCGCCCTCCAGGGTGGACGTCGGGACCGAGGGCCGGGTCCTGCAGCAGCGGCTCGGGCTTGGGTCTGGGACGCAGCGTCCTCTGTGTGTTAAATGAGGAGAAGAAAACGGTTTCCGCGCCTGCTCCGCTGAGGGGACGCGAGAGATTGGAAAGGACGTTGCGAGGGTTCAGGCCCACAGACCAGCGCGTTTATGACCTGCAGCCCTTCAGGGCGTGTGCCCGTTTCCATAAACGAGTTTCAGGTTTTCTGTCGAAGCCCCATCAGCACTAAGGAGAGGAAATTCCCTGCCCTCCATTCGACAGCGATTGAGCTGCTGGCAGGTCCTACCTGGGGCTTCACAGAGTCCAAGCAAACTCCCTAACACGCCACTTCCCTGGGGATGGCCGGCTCTGAAAGATGGAGCGGGTGGAGGTCCCGGCGTCAGGGGCATCAGATGGCACTGGGTCCTCGCTGGGCTCTTCAGCGTGCACGGTACTGAGTACAGGATGCAAGTGCACACACGCAAACATGCACATGTGCAAACAAACAAACATGCATGCACATGTGTGTGCACATGCATACGCACATACTGTGCACACCTGCACACACTCGCGTGTCCATGTGCACGTGCAGGTTAAGTCGAACCATTTCCGTGACTGTTGTGCGAAATGGAAGTTCCGTTGGGAAGCGAGTGCAGTCCCAGTGGCCACACGATAGCGCGACCTGAGGCATTAAAACGCAGCTAGGCTCCTTTTCGGAGCCGTCATTCGAAATAGAGAAACCACCCTCCTCGCCTGAGACAGAAGGAGGGAGGGAGGAGAGCGACAACGGGCTCTGCAGCTTTAGGAGGGAGTGAGAGCCCCAAACGCACTTCGGGAGGATCAGGGGAGGGACTGTTAGCGCTGGGTCCCCAGGCCCTGCGGCTTGGGGTGGGACGCGGAAGGTGTTTTTACTGAGGGACCGAGTGAGTCTTACAGTGACTCCTCTGTGGGGTAATGAAGTGTCAGGTAAAGGAAATCGCTGCTGAGAGGCCTCGTTCGAGGAATTAGGAAACCTCCCTTTGTCAGCCCAGGGCCGTGGTCGGCAAACGGCGGCTCTTTGGCCCCTTGAGTGTGGCTCTTCCTAAGCCTTAGGAGTACCCTAATTAAGTTAATAACAATGTACCTACCTATATAGTTTAAGTTTAAAAAATGTGGCTCTCAAAAGAAATTTCAGTCGTTGTACTGTTGATATTTGGCTCTGTTGACGAATGAGTTTGCTGACCGCTGGCCCAGGGAAATCGCTAACGTCGGCATCGAAGAATCAGCGCCTTCATTGTCCTGCCGGCGTGGACACCTTCCTGGGCAGAGACGCGTGCAGGGGTGGCCTTCAGCGTAGGGAGCGTCCCTGCTCTCCCACCCGTCCAGGCTCAGTCTCACAGTGAAACGCCTCTTTCACCCCTCCCCTGCCCTGACCCCTCGGCACTGCTGACTTCCGAGCAGCCGTGAGCGCAGGAGACACCGCTGGATGTGGGACAGGGCTCTCCAGCACCTGCTCCTTTAACTGCGCTGCACTACACGCGTGTGCGCTTGTGCAGGGTGTTCAGGCGGGAGACACGCGTGGGGTTTGAATCCTGGGGGCAGCGAGGAGCGACAGTGTCACTCAGATGCAGCTCTCTGGCCGAAACCTCAGTGGCTCGGTCATTTATTAGTGACAACTGCCAGCCACATCCTGTTGTCGGGGCACCTTTAAAAAGTTTTTATTGATTTTTAGAGAGAGAGGAAGGGAGAGAGAGAAACATCGACTGGATGCCTCCTGCACACCCCCTCCTGGAGATGGAACCCACAGCCTGGGGCTGTGCCCTGACCGGGAATCGAACCTGACCTCCTGGTTCACAGGTGGACGCTCACCACTGAGCCACGCCGGCCGGGAGGGCACTTCTCTAAGGTCAGGCAGGAGACACGAACAGTGAACATCTTGTGACGTTTGTTCATAAAAGGCAGCACAGCCGTGAAAGTGCGACTGTTCTCGAAATAAGATGGCGAGTCAGGGCGGCAGCCGTGTCGTAGGCCCGTGTGGTGCGTGGAAAGGTTTCTCAGGGGCGAGGGGTAGGCGTCCAGAGTCATAACTGCGGCTCAACAATCAGACCGGACTTCCCTCATACGCCATGGCCAGGCTGTTTCCATTTCTGTCAGTGGGTGGCTTGTTCCTGGCCACGCAGTCCACGCGGCTCCCGTCACGTGGTCCCTGTGGCTCCCCTCACAGTGTCCACGTGGCTCCCGTCACGGTCCACGTGGCTCCCGTCATGTGGTCCCTGTGGCTCCCCTCACAGTGTCCATGTGGCTCCCATCACGGTCCACGTGGCTCCCGTCACGTGGTCCCTGTGGCTCCCCTCACGGTGTCCATGTGGCTCCCGTCACGTGGTCCCTGTGGCTCCCGTCACGGTCCACGTGGCTCCCCTCACGCGGTCCCTGTGGCTCCCGTCACGTCGGTTGGCCTTTATGCAGATGCTCTCGTTTCTGCCTCTGAGTCTGAGGGCTGCGGTGGCAGGGCAGGTTGAAATGGTGAAGGACGCCGATGGCCTGTGTGTTTACGGCTTCTTGTTGGCAGCTGGGGCCCTGTGCACACATCCTTTCCTTCCGTCGCGCAGAGCGGGCGCCGACCGGTGGCTGATGAACGCGGCGTCGGGTGGGTGATTCCCCTTTTCCTACATTAAACACTGCCGTGCTCTCTGGCTCCGCCCACAGCGAGGTGAAGCTGACCGTGGCCTCCTTCCTGTCCGACCGGATCGTGGACGAGCTCCTGGACGCCCTGTCGCTCTGCCATCACAGACTGGTGAGCGCCGGCCTCGCGGGCGGCCTCCGGTCTCTGTCTTTGCGGCTTCGCGGTGCAGATCCCAGCCCCCCTCCCCTCCGAGTCCCTTCGGCCCATCAGGGGCTCCCTGGGCCCTCTCCCAGGGGGTGCGGGGAGAAGCCCAGGTGATGGCGTCCACGGGGCAGGTCAGCATCTGGGAGGAGGTGATGTGGAGGCTGAGATCCAAAGTTAAGATTTAAAAAAATTTTAAATTTATTTTTATTTTTTTAATCCTCACCCGAGGATATTTTTCTATTGATTTTTAGAGAAGGTGGGAGGGAGGGGGAGAGACAGAGAGAAACATTGATATGAGAGACACAGATCAATTGGTTGCCTCCTGCACGAGCCCTGACCAGGGCCGGGGATTGAACCTGCAACAGAGGTGCGTGCCCTTGACCGGAATTGAACCCGGGACCCTTCAGCCGGGCCGACGGTCTGTCCACTGAGCCACACTGGCCAGGGCTCTCATCATTGATGTTTCTTTCTCTCTCCCTCCCCCTTCCTCTCTGAGATCCATGTCCACATAGTCCTCGGGCGCCTCTTCGGGCCCAGCCCCCGCTGCCCGTGTCTGTGGTTGATTTGTCCTGTGTTACCCTCCAGTCCGACCACTTCAGCCGACGGGGCCGGACCCTTCCCGCCCCCGAGGCCGTGGATGTGGAGCCCGTGGACGAGAGGCCGGCCCGGCGCCCGGTCCTCGCGGTGGAGGAGCTCACGGAGCTGGAGCGCCTGGAGGAGCAGGACACGTGTTTGGTAAGATGCGCTGCGGCGACTCCTTCGTCGAACTCCTCGGCTTGGCTGTTGGTTTTTATAAAAAATCTCACCTTCACAAACCAGACCAATAAAACTCCCCCCAGAGACGATCTTTCAGAAACGTGTTGCTGTGCAGAGGCTGTCCGTGAGGCTGATAGAACTTAAGTTTCAGTCCTGGCCGGGGTTGCTCAGTGGATAGAGCGCCGGCCCATGGACCGAAGGGTCCCAGGTGGATTCCGGTCAAGGGCACATACCTCGGTTGCAGGTTCTCTGGCTCTGGTCAGGTGCGTGCAGGAGGCAACCAATCAATGTGTCTCTTTCACATCGATGTGTCTGTCTTTCCCCCTCCCTTCCACTCTCTAAAAATCAATGGAAAAACATCCTTGGATGAGGATTAACAAAAAAGAACAAAATACTCGGTTTCTTAATAAACAAAAATTTTTTTCAAAAAAAGATGAATATGTGCCCAGAAGCACAAGTGAAAGGTGTGTGCTGTCCCCCCCGTGACGCAGGCCTGTGTCGGTGCCACGGGGGAACGGCCGAGTCAAACCCATGACACGCCCGGTGTCACGCAGCTGTCTGCCACACCTGGCTCACCCGGACCGTGCCTCTCGGGGCCGTGGGGCTGGTGACGGTGACGATGAGCCGCCCTCATCCCCTCGGCACACGGGCCTCTGTCAGGACGCAGGTGTGTTAACCAGGAGCTGATCAATGATTCTCTCTCATCGTTGATGTTTCTGTCTCTCTTTCTCTCCCTCTCTCTCTGAAATCAATAAAATATTTTTTTAAGAAATTGGAAATTACTTCTTATGGCTCAGAATGCGTTTTTAGAAACAAACCGATTCTGTCTAGGCCTGAAGCCGTGGTTGGCGGGCTTAGCCACGAATTGGTCTGTGAAGTATCGGGTGCTGACCCCTCGGGGCCGGACACAGGCACGGTGCGATTTCACACGAGGCATGGACAGACAGACAGACAGACAGACGTCGGGGAAGGCGAGAGGGACTGAGAGGGTGAGGCTCAGGCTGAGGAAATTCACCCCGTGGAGGGAGACGACGCCTGCCTCGGCTCGGCTGCTCATGACCCAGCCGACACCGCCTGGAGAAGTGCCCTTGGGGCGCTTGCCGTGGTTTGGGCTTTGGTCTCAGGTCTGGAAGGAGGACCAGCAGGATCAAAGCTGACTTTGTGGGAAGCGAGGGCAGATGCGGACACTGAATCCCAGCTCGTCTGTGCCCCCAGGCGGAGGGGGGGCGCGGCCCGGGTTCGCGCGGCCAGTGCTGATGCCGACGTTGTGGCTGTGGAACGCCGTGCAGCACTGACCTCACAGTCTTTCTGTCCAGTGGGACGCCCTCGGGCAGCTCGGAGCTCAATGCCGTGTCACCAGGATGTGCCTTGGGGGGGCGGGGAGGCGGGGGCTGCAGCCTTGGAGAAGACGACGCGTTTGGAAACCGTGGGCCCTGCCGCCCCCGTCAGCCGTCCGGCGGCTCCAGCGTCCTCCAAGGACTGAGCCGATGCTGAGCCGAGACCGCGGGTCCCAGATGCCCCAGGGGTTCCGGACGTTTGAAGGGCAGGTTTGGGGGACGCCTGGCTCAGGGCTTCCTGTTTCGTTGCTAGATGACCCCCAAGTCCAAGAGGAAGACGATCCACAGCCGGATGCTGCGGCCGGTGTCCAGGGCCTTCGGTGAGTGTCCGCCCCGCCCCCCACCCTCCGCCGACCCGCACCTGCTGCAGGGCCGCCCGACGGGCAGGCGTCGAGAGAGTCGGTGTCGGCGACTGGCTGCTCGCCGTCCATGAGCCTCGCGTCACGTCGGGAACTGTGGCCTGATGTGCGGTGAGTGGGGTCTGGCTTTGCTTCCTGCAGAAATGGAGTTTGACCTGGACAAGGCCCTGGAGGAGGTGCCCATTCACGTGGAGGACCCGCCCCGCCCTGCGGAGAAGCGGAGCTCGGGCCTCATCCCTGAGCTGCCCTCGGAGGAGGGCCGGAAGCTGGAGCACTTCACCAAGCTGCGGCCCCGGCGCAACAAGAGGCAGCAGCCCACGCAGGCGGCGGTGCGTGGGGGGTGCTGCGGGGAGCCCTGCTGGGGGGGGGGCCCTGCTTGGGGGGAGCCCTGCTGGAGGGGGGGCCCTGCTGGGGGGGGCCCTGCTGGAGGGGGGTCCCTGCTGGAGGGGGGCCCTGCTGGGCGGGGGGAGCCCTGCTGGGGGGGGAGCCCTGCTGGGGGGGGAGCCCTGCTGGGGGCCTTGGTTAAGGGGAGCAGAGCCTGGGCATGGACATTTGTGTAGAATCTCCCCCTGGCGCTCACGGTTAGGAAAAGGCTGCTGCGCTGGCTGTGGGGCTGCTTGGCCATCCCTGAAAAACGCAGCCGCGTGGGGAGGAGAGCAGGCCGGCCCCGTGCAGCTTTATAGCGTCACCACCCACAGGCACACACATGGACCTGGTCCTGAACGCCAGCTCCCGCCCCCAGCCCTGGCTGCCCCTTGGGCCTTCCTCAGAGCCGCAGCCTTTTTCTCTCCCCCAGCATGCACACACACATGCACACGCATGCACATGCGCACACGCACATAAGTGCACACATGGGTTTACATGGAGACGTGCACATACATGCCCACATGCGGATGCACATGCGTTTGCACACACATGTGTGCACGCACACACGCATGCACACCCCAGAGCTGGTATCTACTCACCTCTCAGATCTCCCCTGAGACCCGCTCCCTGCAGGAAGCCCACCCCGCCTCCCTGGGCGGCTGCAGGACCCGGGGACGACGCTGTCCCCGACGTGTGTGCGAGTGCACAGCCTGGGCCGCCTCCCGGGCCCCGCCCCATGCCGGGTGCTTGCTGGCTCCAGCCCTGGGCCGGCCAGGCCTCGGAGGCCCATGGTGGGTTCTGTGGTCTGTGCCCAGCGCTCAGCACTGGCTGTGTGATGAGGGGGCCCTGGAAGCCGCCTGTCCTGCGGAGACGGGGGCTGGGGGGGCCCTGCGCCTCGGGAGACACGGATGCTCTTGTCCCCAGAGCACGGATGCTCACTGTCGGTCTTTGGTTTTTATTTTTAATATATACATATATTTTATTTCAGAGAGGAAGGGTGAGGGAGAGAGAGAGAAACATCAATGATGAGAGAGTCATTGATCGGCTGCCTCCTGCACACCCACACGGGGTGGGGTCCACAACCCGGGCCTGTGGCCTGACAGGAATCGAACCCTGACCTCCCGGTTCATAGGTCGACCCTGAGCCCCGCCGGCCGGGCGGCCTGTAGACACTGGGCTCTTCCACGGGCTTTGCAGCGGCAGCGACTCGCCGCCAGGCCTGGGTGCACCTGTTCCTCCCCTTCCTTCCTGCCCCGGTCACACTGGAACCGTGACTTCTGTCCCAGTGGACGGTCTGTGGTCCCAGGGCCTTGACCGTAACCACAGTGTCTGCGACCTCATGACCGTCGGTCACTGTGGTGCCGTCTGGTTGGCAGGTCAGCGTTGCGACCGTGGGCCCCCAGGACGGCGAGCGGAACGGCCTCATGGGGAGAGTGGACGAGGGCGTGGACGAGTTCTTCACCAAGAAGGTGACCAGGCGGTGAGTCCAGAGCGTGACCGAGACCGTGGTTCCACCCGCATGGGAGTCACGGCAGCCGCCTCACACGCGTGTGGAGGTTTTCCCAACGGGCTTCACGATACTGAGGGTTTGCAGACGTGACCTGCAGGCCAGCACCACGGTGGTCAGCTGGGAACGTGTCAGAGCCGCAGACTCCCGGCCTCACCCCAGGCCTCCTGGCGGGGAGCGTCCGTGGTGAACGGCGCCCTTCTTTTCTTTTGCTTTTTAAACGAGTTCGTGTCAATGTCAGAGCGGAAGGAGAGGGAGAGAGATGGAAGCACCAATGAGGAGAGAGTCACTGATCAGCTGCCTCCTGCGCGCCCCACACTGGGGGTGGAGCCCACAACCTGGGCCTGTGCCCCGACCGGGAGTCGAACCTTGACCTCCCGGTTCATAGGTGGACGCTCAGCCCCTGAGCCCAGCCCGCCGGGCTCCCGTCTGTGTTCTGACGGTTCCTGCTGGAACCGGGATTACAGTGTAGCCAGCAGGGTTCCTTCTTCTCTGTCCCAGGAGATCATCGGCCAGAGGCCCCGAGGCCCAGGACCCCGGCGACGGGGGCGATGAGAAGAAGAAGAGAGAATCTCGCAGGAGCGGCTTCCTCAACCTGATCAAGCCCCGGTCCAAGCCCGAGCGGCCACCCACGGTCTTGATGGCGGACGAGCCGTCCTCGCCCAAAGGGGCGGGCAGAGGTCCAGCTGTGGACACGCCCCGGCGGGATGTGAGGCCGGCCGAGCACAACGACAGCTCTGAGCGGACAGAGGAGATGCTGACGCCCGAGCCCCCCGAGGACGGGGAGGACGGGGGGCGGCCGGAGCCCGGCGATGGCAGGGGCAGCCCCCAGGGCAGCCGGCGGTATGGCGTCCAGGTGATGGGCAGCGGCCTGCTGGCTGAGATGAAAGCCAAGCAGGGGCGGCGAGTGGCCGGTGTACACAAGGTGAGGCCCGCGGACTTGCCGTCTTTGGGTTTTGTCCCCGCGGGTGAGAGCTGCAGCTGTTGGTGGTCACTGTCGCGGCTGACGCTCCATCCTCGCGGCCAAGGCGGCGGGCGGAGACCAGCTTCTAATTGTGGAAATGCAGCTCTCGGTTTCACTTAGGTCCTGATTCATTCCCTTTCCCAGACCAGAGCATTCCTGGGGAGATTCCAGCTTTAAAAGTCAAAGGAAAGAAAGCCAGGTGTCCTGTTAGAATCAGTAGAATATCGACCACTGTGGTCGGACGCGGTGAAGAAAACGTCCGTCATGGTGTAAACATTGCTGAGGCCCCCCCCCCCCATCAGCCTCGATGTGTCGTTCACTCTCCAGCCTCTGGCTGACGTACAGGCAGGGGTGTCCCCTCCCCCGACTGCCTGTTTCCTCCGGCTCCCGAAGGGCTGGACCCTCGTTGTGGCCCCGGAGCCACAGGCCACGGGCCACAGGCCACGGGCCACGTTAACCCGGCCGTGGCTCCTGTGGGTTTCCCTGGGCGCTTCGGAGTTTGTGGAACGGGGTTCTCCAAAGTCAGGGAGGTTGCACCCCTCCTTTCTGGGAGGAGGAGACTACGTCCGCTCACCCCAAGGAGCCTTGTTTCCAGGAAGGAAACGGTGGACTTTCTGTGCAGGGTGGGGGCTGCTTAGGGGACTCTATACACCCAGGCGTGTTTTCTTTTTTTAAAAAAATATTTTTAATGACTTCAGAGAGGAAGGGAGAGGGGGAGAGAGAGAAACATCAGTGATGAGAGAGAATCATCGATCGGCTGCCGCCTGCACGGCCCCCACTGGGGATTGAGCCCACAACCCGGGCGTGTGCCCCGACCGGGAATTGAATCCGGGACCTCCTGGCTCATAGGTCGACGCTCAGCCACTGAGCCACGCCGGCCGGCCATCGCCGCTCAGTCATGTGTTCATCCAGTCCTGCCTCCCACGTGGTTTCACAGGTGTTGATGGGCACCTTGGTTACCTGACAGTTTCCTGGTTACAGCCCCTCCTGCCTCACTCGTCCTTCGGATGTGCGTTTCATGGCCTCATAGGCCGGCCTGCTTGGACGGGGAGCAGGCTGTGTGCACCAGGCGCTGCTGGGTGGCGGCTCCCGCTGGAGAGCAGCTGCCTGTGGTGGGAGGCTGTGCTGCAGGCCTTTCTCCCGGTGCTTTGGGTTTGGGATGTAAACAGGCTCCAGGGGTCAGAATTCTGGGTTAGTGGCAGTTCTGCTAGTTCATGCCCGTGGTCTCCTAGCGCCACCTCGTGTCCATTTACTATAACAACAAGCTCCAGCCGGTGGCTCAATGGGTTGTGTGTAGGACTGCGGACCCAAGGGTCCCAGGTTCGATTCCTGGTCAGGACACATGCCTGGGTTTCAGGCCCAAGCCCCAGAGTGGGGCGTGCAGGAGGCAATCAGTGATTCTCTCATCATCGATGTTTCTATCTCTCCCTCCCTTTCTCTCTGAAATCAATAAAAACATGTTGAAAAAAATATATGTAAAACAATGATAATAAAAATCCGTAGTATTAAAAATTTGAACAAGTCAGGGGTATTCCCTCTATGACAGCGGTTTTCACTCCGTGGGCCGCAAGAATTTCTACAACATGCAATACCTGACTCGTCAGGGGCACCGCCCTCTCTTCCCTGAGATGGTTACATAGAAGCATGACAACAGCTAACACAATAGTAACCGCCTGGTGTGAATGAATAAGATTTATACCTATTTCTTTTTCTGGTCAGACCGGCAAAAAATAACATTTTTTGGTTTGCCGCAGAAGTTTAGTAATTAGTGGATGTGTGCCATGCGATGAAGAAGGTTGCGCATCGCTGCTCTATTAGAACAATAAAGTAAGAGAAGGCTTTCCCAGCTGGCTTTCCAGTATTGTCCCCTAAAACTCCAGACTGCGCTTTAGTCAGCAACATCCGCGTCAGTGGGGAGCGTTCTGTTGACAAAATGCTATCGATTCATGTGTGTGTCGTCTTCGCGTTCCTCTGGAGCCATGCTCTTCGCACCGTTCACTTTAGGGTGTGGACTTAGCGAGAAAGCTGTGAGGTGAGGGCGCGGCATCTGTCGCCGAGGAAGGTGGAGGGCGACCGGAGCTGAGTGCTCAGCGGCCTGGCCTCTCCTGGGCCCCCTGGTGGCTGCGTGCCCGCGGTGCCAACTGGCTGGCACAGGGGCTGCCGGGGCAGCGGCGTTTCCCCTTCCCCGTCCTTGCCGCCAGACGCCGTCCACATAAAGTCTGAGGGGTTTTGTGTTTGTTGTTGTTAATCTCACCCGAGGATATGTTCCATTGATTTTTAGAGAGAGAGGAAGGAAGGGGGAGAGAAGAGAGAGAGAAACAATGACTTGAGAGAGACACAGGGATGGAGCCTGCAACTGAGGCACATGCCCTTGACTGGAACCGAACCCGGGGCCCTTCAGTCCGCAAGCTGACGCTCTACCCACTGAGCCACGCCAGCCGGGCCCAGGGTTCGTCTTTAATGCATTCCCGCCGGCTTACCTGTGTCTGCCGCTGACGCACCACACCTGTGTCCTTGGTGCTGCCCCTCTTTGGGGCGTTCCCGTGGGAGAGGTTCCGACCCCCCTTGGAGTGGGTCCTGCCCGTGTGCAGGGTCAGGGCCCAGGCGGGAGTGAGGGCGGCAGATTCACACAGCAGCTCAGCCAGGGAGGAGCTGAAGAGCCGCGCTCGCCCTGGCCGGTTCGGCTCAGTGGACAGAGCGTCGGCCTGCGGATCGCAGCGTCCCGGGTTCGATTTCGGGCAAGGGCGGTACTTGGGTTGCAGGCTCCTCCCGGGCCCTGGTCAGGGCTCTTGCAGGAGGCAACCAGTCGATGTGTCTCTCTCACATCGAGTCTCTCTCTCCTACTCTCTCTAAACATCCATGGAAAGCGCCCTCGGGGGAGGATTGACAGCAAAGCGCCATCTTGTCGCGCTGTCTGCTCTGTGCCTCTCACGCTTTAAATGAACACGCACTTTGGGGGGTGCTGGGTGTTTTAGAAGCTCGGGAACGACGCCGCCTCCCCGGACCCACCCAACCCGGCAGCGAGCGAGGAGCAGCCGGATGGAGGCGGGGCAGGTGAGTCAGGAGGCGCAGGCCCCCCCCCCCCCCCCAACACCTGCCGGTTCCAGAGTCACAGATGATTGACAGGAGGGAAACAGTGGGGGCGGGGCAAAGCAGCCTCTCTGTTTCCTGTCCTCAGCCTTCCCTCCTCCTCCTGCCAGCGCACCTGGGGCCCGGCCCCACCCGTGGCCTGTCCCAAACAGGGTGCCTTTTCCCCTCCCCAAAGGGGAGACATTCCATTGAGAAGAACTTACAAACTATGGACTTGTGGGGGGGGGGGGCAGTTGGGGACATGCTGATGTTATTTTTAGAAATATTTTTATTCCTTTCAGAGAGAAGAAGGGAGAGAGACATCAATGATGAGAGAGAATCATGGGTCGACTGCCTCCTGCCCGCCCTCTACTGGGGGTCGAGCCCGCGACCCGGGCCTGTGCCCCAACCAGAAAAGGAACCGTGACCTCCTGGTTCCTAGGTCAGCGCTCACACCAGCCGGGCTCTCTGAGTTTTAAAGTTGCCTTTTGTCCCCATTTTCATTTCAGTGCCTAGACTGCACCCCGCGCTCCCGGGGACCCCAGAGAAGAGCGCCAAAGCGGACCCCCGAGTGGACGCGGGCTTCCGGGGCCGGAGCGCCTCCAACGCCAGGCCCGCCCTGCAGTCGCCCAGGCCCAGCCCGGCCGCGCGGCCCACCCTCCCGCAGAAGCCCAGGACGCCCTCCCGGGCAGGTGAGGGCTCGGGCCAGGATGGACACCAGGTGGTCTCCGGGGTCGGTGACCGTGGCTCGGGGTCCCGCCGGGGCCGTGGGAACGGCTGAGGCCGGGAAAGGGACGAGCAGGCGGGGCCCCTGGTCAGCACGCCAGCCTCTGGGACTCCTGGCGTTCGGGGCGGCAGGCACAGGAGGGACTGAGGAGGCGTCCGTACCGGCCTCCAGGTCAGAGCCCGCGAGGCGGAGGATGAGGGGGGGCCCCTGTGCTGTGACGTATTGGGGTTCGGGCGGGGTGTGGCGAACCTGGGCCTGTTTTTTTAAATGTATTATTGACTTCAGAGAGGAAGGGAGAGGGAGAGAAAGATAGAAGCATCAATGATGAGAGAGACTCATGGATCGGCTGCCTTCTGCACACCCCACACGGGATCGAGCCTCTGACCTGACATGTGCCCTGACCGGGAATCAAACCATGACCCGCTCATAGGTCGGTGCTCAACCACTGAGCCGTGCCGGCCACGCTGCCGGTCTGTAAGTGTCCCCGCGCAGCCCCACCAGGGAGCCGCTGTCGGGCGGCTTGGAGTCGGGCAGAGGGGACTCGTGGCCAGAAAAGTCCGTGATGCTGTTTGAGGAGTTTGGGCGTCTGTGGAAAGAAACCGCTGCTCCCGTGGGAGGCACGGCTGCGGAGCCGCGTGACCCGTGCTGTGTCTCCACAGAGGACGCCCCGGACTCCCCGCCCGGCCTCGGCTCCCCCAGGGTCGCTCTGCTCCCTCCCGTCCTGCAGAAGGTGCCTGTGGACAAGGAGCGGGAAGGCCAGGGCAGCCCCCAGCCCAGCCCCAGGACCTTCTCCCAGGAAGGTAGGGACGCCCGTCCCCGCCCAGCTCTCCCCAGGGGACTTGCTCAGGAGAAGGGGTGCCCCCGGGACGGGCTTGTCGCTTCCAGTGACGTCAGCATCCCTTGGGTTACACGCTGGGACCCGTGCCCTTTCTGGGTGCAGAACCTCGAGTCCGCGTTATTGACGGCACGGGGTCGGGCTGAAGGTTGTGGGGTCGGGCTGGAGGTTGTGGGGTCGGGATGGAGGTCGTGGGGTCGGGATGGAGGTCGCGGGGTCGGGATGGAGGTCGCGGGGTCGGGATGGAGGTCGCGGGGTCGGGATGGAGGTCGCGGGGTCGGGATGGAGGTCGCGGGGTCGGGATGGAGGTCGCGGGGTCGGGATGGAGGTCGCGGGGTCGGGATGGAGGTCGCGGGGTCGGGATGGAGGTCGCGGGGTCGGGATGGAGGTCGCGGGGTCGGGATGGAGGTCGCGGGGTCGGGTTGGAGGTCGCGGGGTCGGGGTGGAGGTCGTGGGGTCGGGGTGGAGGCTGTGGGGTCAGGATGGAGGTTGTGGGGTCAGAATGGAGGTCGCGGGGTCAGGATGGAGGTCGTGCACATAGAGAGAGACCCCCTCTCCCTACCCCCCACTGAGTGCAGCCCAGAGGCCTCAGATCTGGGCTCCTGCCCTGGGCCTCTCACCTGCGGGGCCGTAGACGTTGTCTGGTGCGTCCTGTGGGGTTCCAGGCCCCCTGTTTCCAGCACAAGCTTCCCTGTCGTCAGTGACGTTGCTGTGGCTCAGGGCGCCCGCCAGGTCTGCGTGGCCTCAGGGCTCCCTCTGTCACGGGGTCGGGCTCGTTCCCAGCAGAGTGGCCGCGGAGGGACGCTCTCGGCCGGCCCCTCCCCATGTGCTCCCTCTAACGCAGGGGGTGGGCAGGGCAGGACAGTCCTAGGGGCACACGCTGCCTCCCGGACTCGGACCAGGGGCGGCGGTGGGGGCCCTGTCGGGCCTCGGCACCCCACTGTCTCGCTCCCATTCTGCTGGACGCACAGTGCCTCTGGGGTGCTGTCCTTTGAGGATATTTTTCCATTGATTTTCAGAAAGAGTGGAAGAGAGAGGGAAAGACATGGAATACCGTGTGAGAGAAACACAGCCATTGGTTGCCTCAAGCACATGCTCCATCTGGAAGGAGCCTGCAACCAAGGTCCATGTCCTTGACCAGAATCGAACCCGGGACCCTGGGGTCCACAGGCCAACGCTCTATCCACTGCGCAAAACTGGCCAGGGCTTAAATATATTTTTATTGATTTCAGAGAGGAAGGCAGAGGGAGAGAGGGGTAGAAACATCAATGATGAGAGAGAATCATGGATCGGTGCCTCCTGCACACCCCCCTCTGGGATGATGCCTGCAGCCTGGACACATGCCCTGACCGTTTTGACCAGGAATCGTACTGTGACCTCCTGGTTCATGGGTCAATGCTCAGCCACTGGGCCACGCCGGCCAGGCTGCCGTGTGATTGAAACGAGGCCTCGAGTTAGTGGGCGGCTCCGTGAGTGAGTGTGGACCCCGGAGCCTCTCTGCTGACCAGTGCCCTTAGCTGCTTGGACCGAGTCATTCTTCCCCCGAGAGGTTGAGATGCAATAGCTGCTCGTCACCCCTTCGCGGGTCTCGTGGGCGGATGTTGGGTTCTCCTCCCTCCCCCTAAGTGAGCGTGAGGACAGGTCCCGCCTCCCCTCCCAGGGAGATGGCGGGGACAGCGCCACGGGGACCGGCACTCCCCTGTGGATCCAGAGTGAGTGGGTCCGGAATCGTCACCACGGTAGCCCTTAGGGTCGGCGTCGGACTGCAGACAGGCGTGAGGCCGGAGGACAGTGTGGCCCGTCGGGTGCTGGGCGGGTCTTGACCTCGTCCGTCGCTCGAGCCGGCCCAGGACAGGGGGCCTCGCTGTGTCTTCCTTTCCTCTGAAAAGTGTTGCTCCTTCCTGGTTTCTGGTGCGTTATTCATGCTGGTCCCCGTCTCCTTGCTCTCTGCCTCCCTCCGGACTAGCGCGTCCCCGTCATTTCTGACGCAGGTAAACGGCCGCGGTTCTTCGGGTCCTTCCATTGTGAATGTGACTTTCATTCATTCATCCTGGGGTCAGATGGTAACGTTTGGGGGCAGACTTGGAGCTTGCCTCACTGTGCACGGGGCTCACCACTTCCATCATGTTGGCTGTTGGATTCTGTAGGTAACGGCACATCTGACCAGAACCGACTCGTAGGTTCCTTGAGTCCTCAGGGGGCGGTGAGCCTGCTGTTCCATTTTGAATGTTCGTACGCTTTGCCGGTTTGGGGTCGCCACGCTGACGTGTGTGCGATGATCAAGGTGAAATGCCTCCCTTTTCCTCAGTGGTGAAAAGAGGCGATGGTGACAAAAGGCCCTCAGATCAGGACAGTGGCAAGCCTTCCGGTGGAGGGGACAGACCTGCGAAACGCGGCCCTGTCCTGGCGGAGGAGGCGACGAAGGCAGCTGGGCACCGGAAGCCACAGCCAACAACTGGTTAGAGCCCTCGGTTGTCACCCCTTTTGGCCCCGACGCTATGAACTGGCACTAACCCACACGGACTGGAATTGGGTCCCTTCTGTCAGGGGACCCCGATGATTCGTGCAGCTGATTTTTTATTTTATTCTAAATGGCAACAGGTTGGTCCTTCCATCTGGGGCAAAAGGGTTGACTTACAAAACCTAAGAATCATTGATCGGCTGCCTCCTGCTGGGGATCGAGCCCGCAACCCGGGCGTGTGGCCTTGACCAGAATCGAACCTGGGACCCTACAGTCCACAGGCTGATGTTCTATCCACTGAGCAACACCAGCCAGGGCGAGGCAGAGCTTTTTTGAGAGTATATGAAATCGGAAGCTCGGTCTCTCTATTGTCCCTTTTTTGATAAGGACACCCGAGGTCCCAGATGTTTCCAGATTTTGGAAATTTGCATTTGAACTGGGATCAGTCGCCGAATGTCACTTTATTAGCAAAGCTCCTTTGATTCAATGCGGTGTTCCTTCTTCAGTCGGCCACTAAATGCACCTCAGACAACACACAGACCCAGACCCCCCCCCCACCCCCTCCCCCCTTGCCACGCTGGTCATCCCTGGACTTGGAATGGAAAGAGGAGGAAGGCAGAGAGAAGCCAGCCCTCAGGCAGGCAGGGAGCTCTGTCTGTCTCAGGTTTTTCCCGTGACCTCTCTGGTTTAAAATTCTCAATTTGGTGGGATTAAATGGGACCATCTTGTATTTGCTTTCTGCCTCAATTTCTTGAAACACTGGCAGGAACAACAAAAAGTGATTTTTGCAGGGGCTTCCGTTAGAGTGGCTTTACGTATAATGTTTTAACGTTGTTTTGTTGGTGCCAGTTCCTAGCACTCGGCTGCGTGTGCCCTGGAGCGCTGCCTGCGGTCTGCTTTCGGAATGGTGTCTGGTTTAACCAGTCGCGGTCGGCAGAGCAATTCTGTCGGCTGTTGTGCATCCTTCCCTTTAAGTCTTCGAAAAGCAGCTCTGTTTACGCTGAAACAGATTTCTCCTTTCCTCCGCCTCGTGACCACGAGACAGACAGAGGCTGTGGTTCTGAAAGCACGCTGCCTGCTGCATCGCGTTACTGTTTCACTGTGTGGCCGTCTGGACGTCGCTGGGCGGGTGAAACGCCGGCTTTCTTTACTGGGACATCTGTGGCTGCGTCTTTTGAATTTCCTATGGTGTCCCCTCTTCCTTTCGCTGGGCACCGTGGTGTTTGGTCAGAGTGCGCCCTGTTTTCTTGAGGAAAATGCTGGCTTGGCTTTGGCCGGCCTGTGATGGTGGCACGGGCCGCCTGACTCAGAGTGCATTTATGTATTTATTTTAACACATTGCGGACGGAATTCCCGCTTCGTATTACACGGTGTTTTACCAAGTCTCTTACTTTAAAAAGGTATTAGCTTGTAAGAACATGTAATAAATAACTTTAAAAACGCAGTGGGTATTTAATTTTAAAGCGTGCCTTTAAATCTATGTAAAACGTTTTTTGTACTCGTTCAATAGAAACTTATGGGTAAAGCTGGCAATAAAACTACTGGCCCGCAATGTGTTAAGTTAGGGCATTTTTAAAACTTAATTTTTTAATTTTTTTTTTATTTCAGAGAGGAAGGGAGAGGGAGAGAGAGAGAAACAGCAACGATGAGAGAATCACCGATCAGCTGCCTCCCGCACGCCCCACACAGGATCAAGCCCATAACCCAGGCCTGTGCCCTGACCTCCTGGGTCAACACTCAACCAGTGACCCTGCCCAGCTGGGCCAATTTGTACTTCTTAATCCCTCCCCCCTTTTCTTTTTAAAAATTATTTTATTTAAAAAAAAAATTCTTGACACCGTTGCAGATGTCCGCCGGGGCAAATAGGAGCCCTTTTTTGGGTTTGCGTTTTGAGCATTCGTTTTCCGGAGCTTCCACTTTCTGAAGCGCTTGCTCGTTTGTGGGCCAAACATTTAAGTAGCCAGTTCCTGCTGAGATGGGCGTCGTGGCATCGCAGTGACATGGGCGTGGTCAGCGGGTCCGAGGGTTTGTCCGTGGCCGTGGCCCTGGCTGGCTGTGGACCCGTGAGGCGTGAGGCAGCTGCTCACAGCGTGTGGGTGTGGCATCCGCCCAAGTGGTCTGCACATCGGCTTGTGAGTCATAGTTAACGCCTGTCCCGGCCACACCCGAGGGCCCCCTGAGCCTTTCCCAGGGACAGCCCAGGCAGCCCTGACCGAGTGGGGAAGAAGTGGCCTGGGAGAGAGTGGCCCTGAGGTCCTGGTCCCCGGTCTCACAAAGCCTGCCTTCAGGTGGCCGTGAGGAGCAGCGATGAAACTTGGGGGGGGGGGGGGGGAGGTGACGGTGGCTCCAGGCTCCGTCTCCATCATCGCTCTGCCAGGCCCCAGTGACCCTTCCCGTCTGCGAGGAATCATGGCAGTTCTCGTAGCTGAGGCTGTCGCCCGGTCCCTCTGCTGTGTGGGGACACCTGTGGCAGGTGTGACATGGTCACCTGGCACCGGGCACTGCGGCTTCAGAGCGCCCTCCTTCCAGGCACCCCCTTTCCCTCCCGCCGTCCTCGCCCTGTGGGCCTCTCCCCCCCTGATTCTCCACCACAGCCCTGGGACTCCCCCCTCACAGGCTGGGGTTGTGTATGTTTTCGTGCTGCGACCTGTCTTTTGCTGGTTTGTCTTTCATTTCTGTCTGAGTCTCTAGATGTGATTGCTGCGGGTCTGAGGAACCCCGTGCCCCCCGACGGGCCGGTCTCACCCCGTTGCTGGGCGGCCGGCGTTGTTGGTTAATCAGCGTGACGACCTCCCTCTGCTTCCGTTTCAGTTTGGAGGAAAAGCTGGGGCCAGCAGCCCCAGGAGTTCCAGGACCAGAAGCCGTGGTCCCCCAGCAAGGACGGCCGGCAGGGCAGCAAGTCCAGCGACTCCGGGGAGGAGGCCGAAAAGGAGTTCATCTTCGTGTGAAGGTCACGGCCCCAGACGTCCCGGCAGGTGCCTGGCGGTCACCAGAGAGGCACCAGGGCTGCCCCGCCTCCTCGGCCTCGTCTCTCGGTGCTGCTTCCCTTGCTTTTTCCTTCTATTGAAACCAGAAACACAGCCATTTCTTGGTAATCAGAGCACATTTGCTTGGGCTTCTCTCGGCCCTGGCGTTCCTGCCTATACCTTCAGCCGGTGCCAGCGGTGCCAGCGGCCACACTTGAATTTCTCCTTGGCAGCTGCTGCTGCTGCCCTGCGGGAGGAGCGTGGGGAGGCGCCCGGGTTACTGGGCACTCACGCGCACAGGGAACCGTCCGGGCGGCCGTGGGTCCTGCCGCCCGTGCCTGCGTCAGATGGGCACCGGCCCACGGAGCGGTTTGCTCTCGCTGGGAGCGGTTTGCAGCTGCACCTTGTAATTACGGCCGAGCACACGAATAAGCCCTTTGTATACATTATATTTGCTGGGTCTCGGGGTGGTGTCTCCATTCTCCCGGGGCAGCCCTTCCTTCCCAAGGGGGATGGTGCGTCCCCATGCGGGCGGCGGCCTGGGCCTTCCCACCGGCAGGCGCGGGGGGACTGGGCGAGAGGCCCCGCTGCTGCCCCCACGTGTCCGGGTTGAGTGCACAGCGGACTGGAATGAGGGTTTACGGATATATGTTTGTTTTTAAATGTCTTTAATTTGTCTGCATATTAGCTTTGAAGGTGTAATTTTAAGAGAGAATTTAAGAGACCTGTAAACAAATAAAAAATACTACTCTTTTTACGACATGTCACAAACAGTCACTTCCCAGACAGGCTGGAGGTATTCTACGCGTATGTGTATTTATACCAATAAATGATTTTACAAGTGGAATCCAACCCGCTGCCATGGCATTTTGACGTTTGGCTTGTGGTGACGAACGTTGCTTTGGGTCCAAGATCCAGGAGCACCCGGTTCCCAGGGACTCACACCCGGCGACGTCAGCGTCCACGAAGCTGCTGCTCCTGCCACCTGCTTGCACCCCGGGAAGGAGCCAGGTCACGCGGGACGCGAGTGTGAACCAGGGCGTGACCTGAGAGGTGTTTACCTGTTAAGGGAAGGGAGTCAGCGTGTGATCCCGTGTTGGTGCCTGTAACGCCCCTGGAGGACGTAACCAGAGTTACTGCCCTCCGTTGTCTGGGTCAGACTACGGGGGAGTCTTTCTTCTCTCATTTTCTGAGCTACATGATTTAAGTGATCTTTTGTATTCATGTGATTACAAAAGAAACAAAAGGTATATATATTATATGTAATATATATATATTAAAGCATTTGCTCTAGTTCCAGTATTTTTTTTTATGACAAACACTGTCCAATTTCTTTTCGTCTACTTCCTCCGTCCTTGGGAACTGGGTGGTGTTCAAGTGAGGCAACCCCCTAATTCTAAGGGGCACTATACGGTCTGTGAGGGGGTCCCCATGTTTGAATGCTTGGTAGCTACTGGGGGGTGCTGCCAAAAGAAGCCTTGTGTGCAGTCCCAGCCGGAAACACCATTCTGACTTTGTAAAAAGATGCAGATATTCTAATTGTTTTTCTGTTTGGTTCTCTGAGTTTTTCCAACATCCTGTCTTCTAACTCACGGATCCGCCCCTCAGCTTCCCCTAATCTGCTGCGTGCTTCCCCCAGTGCGTCCTTTATCTGTGCCGTGTCATTCTTTCTGTTTTCACAGTTACCACATCTTTTCTCGTGCTGTTGAGCGTCTTTACCATCATTACTCTGAATAAGCTTCTTATCTCTGCTTCACTTATCCCCTCTTCCGGAGAATTCTCTCGTTCTCTCGTTTGGGCGTTGTTTCTTTGCCTCCCCATTTTGGCTGCCTGTGTGGGTTTGCTCTAACTCGGAGTTCGGTGCGTGCGTCAGGGTTAATTAGTGCTGCGCGTGCCGGCCACGGCCGTGTCTGGGGCCAGGGGCCTCGTTAGCCGAGCTAATGAGGGGACAGGAAGTCACTGCGGGGGGAAATGAAATCAGCCGCGAAAACAAGAACCACTGTGCGCCACCCTGAGCTTCAGCCGGCCGCTGTGAAACCACCAGAGTCACGTACACATTCCAACCTCCTTTTGAAAGTGAGAGGAATTGATGGAAAGTCGTACGAATCCCCCCAAAGTCTCTTCCTTCTCCTTCAGAGAAGCCACACCCTAGTGATGAAGAGACCAGGATGGCAGCAGCGGGACCCGGGAGGAAGCCGGGAGGCAGTGGTTCCACTGTCACCCAGGGAAGCGTGTAGAAACAGCGGCGCAGAGTCCGGCTCCCGGCCGTGCCCGGCAGGGTCTCCGTGGACGGGGCCACGTGGACCGTTCATCTCGGGTCGACTTCGGCCGCGTTGTTTGCTTTACTCCGAGTTTTTGGTTGGTCGCCCCCCCACCCCCCGGCCCAGCACCCCCTTCCCGGCTGGGAGAGCCTCCCACCTCCTGGGGGCTCCCCCTCTTGCTGATCCTGTCTCTTTAAACGCCTTCCGGTGGCTCTGTCTCGGTCCAGGGTTCGGATGGTTTTCCCAGAGGGAAATCTCTGTATGAGAGAATGCAAGGCACCGAACCTGACCCCCCCAGTCCCATGACAGATGTGGGTACCCCTCTCTGCTTCACCCCCCCCCCCACACACACACACATACATCATTTCTAGATCAGGTCCAGGGGCCCTAACCGGCCACCTCCTCAACCCTTTAACCGGGAGCTCCCTCTAGGAAACACCTTGAGCCCGGCCGGTGTGGCTCAGTGGTTGAAGGTCGACCTAGGAACCAGGAGGTCAGGGTTCGATTCCCGGTCAGGGCACAGGCCCGGGTTGTGGGCTCGGTCCCCAGTGTGGGCCGTGCAGGGGGCAGCCGACCCACGATTCTCTCCATCGCTGATGTTCCTCTCTCCCTCTCCCTTCCTCTCTGAAATCCATAAAAACATATTAAAAACAAAACAAACAAAACCCTTGAGACACAGTTTGGAGGTGAGTCGGATGGAAGGGGGATGTTTCCTGTGCGTTTGAGAAGTTCTAAGGGTGAAGGCGGACCATGGACGCTGCCTACCCCGCAGCCCCGGCCCCAGAGGGAGAGGACCGGGAGGGGGGGACCGGGGAGCGGGGGTGACAGGGAAGAGAGGGCGGGGCCCAGGGCGGCGGGCTCCAGGCAGCTGTCCTCCCGGTCGCGCGGGCGGCGGGGCTTGGGGACCCCTGGGCGCCAGCCGCAGACTCGGAGACGCGGTGCCCAGAGCCTCAGAGAAGGTCCGCGAGGGAAGGAGCCGGCGGGGAGGAGGCGGCCGGCCGGCCGGCCGGGAGTCGGTCCTGACCCAGGTTCCCAGGTTCCCGCCGCTCCGGAGGCGGTGCCGCTCGCGGTCAGCACCATGGACAGCGCGCCCCCGGCGGAGGAGCAGCTGGGGCGCCGCCGGCTTCCGGAGGGTCTGGCAGCCCCTGGACCCCGAAGGTGAGCAGGGGTGTCGCCGGGCTCACCCGCGAGGGAGAAAGGAAAGGTGGCCGGACACAGGCCGCCTGGGGTGGGGGGTGGCTTACCTGGGTCGCACCTGGGGGTGCGGGGGTTCAGGGGGGGAGGGGCTTGGCCCCACTTTCCCAATGTGTGTGTGTGTGTGTGTGTGTGTGTGTGTGTGTGTGAGAGAGAGAGAGGAGAGGGACCGTGTGTATATGCGATCACAGCGTCATGTGTACCTGAGGCAGGGGCTCCCCTCCATGTGCTCAGTGTTGCTGACTGCCTGGCTGGAACCCCCGCTCTCAAAGGAGGAGGAACCTGATTGACTTTCAAAAAGACGCTGTCCCCTCCCCCCTCCCCCCAGAACTACGGAGAAGAACATGGGGCTCCCTGACACCTGCTTTGTCTTTGTTAATAATTAACCACAAACACGCCCTCGGAAATGCTGCTCTGACCCTGCAAGATGGGACTCGGTGCTCACATCTCTCTCATCATGGCTGTTTCTCTCTCTCTCCCTCTCCCTTCTTCTCTTAAATAAATAAAAAATATATTTTTAAAAGCTCAGTTGAATGGGGCTCTCGGTTAGAATCAAACCTCCTGTGATGAGAGTGTCTGAGGTCACCCACGCACGAGCTGCAGCAAGCGTGCGGCTGTCGGGCTGTTGCTGCTGATTTTATGTTCGGGGGACGAGGGTGCCAAGCGTGTGAGCCTCGGGGCAGAGAGGCGAGCCCGCCAGTGGCTGCCAGAGTGAGTGTCCCTGACTCATGCCCTCACCACCGTGTCCCCTCTGCTCCAGGTGAAGCTCTTCGACAAAAACAAAGACGGCCGGTTGGATCTCAGTGACCTGGCCAGGTGAGCAGCTGGCGGCCATGTCGTCTGTCCAGGTTCAGCGTCCGAGGGGGGGGGTGGGGACCGCACACCCTTCTTGGTGGGAGGCAGAGGTCAGGTCTCCCCGAAGCCCTTCTCTTCGCGAAGATCCCGCAAGCTCTTCTCCCCAGACCACAATGCACGACCTTCTCATACAACGTTTAAGCCTTTGGTTAATTTCCAGAGTTTTGAAAAAGTTTATTTTTTTTTGCTAGTTTTCTTGTTGCCTTCATGGAGGAGAGAATTTTCATAACCTGGTATTGTGCCATTTTCCACCAAAATAAATTTTTTAAAAATATTTTTTTATTTATTTCAGAGAGGAAAGGAGAGGGAGAGAGAGACAGAAACATCAATGCTGAGAGAGAACTATTGACCGGCAGCCTCCTGCACACCCTACGCTGGGGATGGAGCCTGCAACCCGGCCTGTGCCCTGCCCGGGAATCAAACCTGGGACGCTTCCGTCTGCAGGCCGACGCTCTATCCACTGAGCCATGCAGGCTGGGTCACCAAGATAAATTTTTAAAAGTGTCTCTCTGATGCCTCCTAATCTCTATGAAAGTCTTTCCCAAGCAATGCCTGTCTGTGTTTGTATAGCCTCTAAATTCTTATTTTCCAAGCACCCATCCACCTGCAGAAGAATCTGGAAGTTGCCTGCCCCTTCCTCGCATCCGGGTTATGAATTTGCTTTAACTGAGCGTTGATCGATCCTCATGTCAATTACCTTTTTTTTTTTTTTTTTTTTTTTTCCATTTAGGATTCTGGCTCTTCAGGAGAACTTTCTTCTCCAGTTTAAAATGGACGTGAGTAGGGACATTTCTCTGGACGGGTTTCTGGCACATGTGGTTCTCGGGCGATTTGAGAGGGAGGAGGGAGAAAGGAAGGCATCGTCTTGTCTTAAACGTATCTGGAGGCCGACAAGGCTGAGTGAGAATCAAGGGCGGCGGTTCTCAACCTGTGGGTCGCGACCCCTTTGGCGGTCGAACGACCCTTTCACAGTTCCCTGATCCGTATAACCAGGGGGACGAGGCTCGCAATGCCTGCCCCTTGGGCCGTTATGAGAATCACTGAACCCGTGTGGACGAGGCTCTGAGAAACGTGCCTGGCATAACCGCTGGGTGAGTGCTTGGTCAATACCCCCAGGGAACAGATGTGTGTTAAATGTGACGTTAAAGATTCAGGATAAAGGAACTTTGAAAAGATTAGGTGCGTTGTCATAACTGGAACTTTAGCGAAGAAACGGAACTATTTCAATGTATGTCGCATTTTATAGACGTCCTCATAAATCGAAAAGTCTCGTGTACAGACCACATAATAATCCCAGCATGCTCACTCCATCGAATTCCTCTTGATTTAAAAGATATGTTTGCGTAATGACCAAGTCATTGGCCAATCACAGAGCGGACCTAACATGCCCGCCTGGCTCCCAAAGGGTTCACACGGCGCCCAAGTAACGCCTGTTCCCGGAAGCCTGTTTGCAAAGCCAGGCGGGAAGCGTTTGTCACGTTAATGGTGTTGGCAGGAGCCAAGAGCTCAGAGCTGCTGCTTCCCATGTTGTCACAGGGGAGGCGGGAGGCGGGAGGCGGGGTAATTTACAATGACTTCTTTTAATTTCCGTGGAGCATTCACACCCTCAGAGAACATAAGCTGGAGCACGCCATTTCTTTCTTTCTTTCTTTTATTTTTTTAGATATATTTTTATTGATTTCAGAGAGGAAGGGAGAGGGAGAGAGAGATAGAAACATCAATGATGAGACTGATTCACGGATCGGCTGCCTCCTGCACGCCCCACACTGGGGATGGAGCCCACAACCGGGGCCTGTGCCCTGACCGGGAATTGAACTGTGACCTCCTGGTTCATAGGTTGACGCTCAACCACTGAGCCACACGGGCCAGACAGGAACATGCCATTTCTGAGCCTGTGTGCAGTCCCCAGAGCACGCTGAGGCGGTCTAGTTGCCTGATTTGTTCTTCCGCTTTTCGCTGGAAGGAAATGATACTTCGTGATGGAATCTCTTCTCTTTCAGAGTAAAACGGGAGCGCTGGAAGGCCCTGAGGTGGACGCGTTTGTGAAAGACATGATGGAGCTTGTGCAGGTGACCTCGCAGCCGTGGGCCCATCATGCACTGGGGCTGCCGTCTGGCCCCTCCGTTGTTTGTGTTGGGGAACCGGGGCTGGGAGATGAGGCTGAAGGGACGTCTAGGACGTGGCCTATTCAGCAGCCTCTGAGCCCCTGTGGGACCCACAGTCTCCTTCTCTCAAGGCCAGTGGTGGTTTCAGTTAAGCGGAGACCCGTAGGTCGCTGCCTCATTTAGGAGTCGTCGATTTCACCGAAGGAGCACAGTGCCACGCATTTGTGACAGCTGCATTTATTTATTTTTAAATATATTTTTACTGACTTCAGAGAGGAAGGGAGAGGGAGAGGGAGAAACATCCATGATGAGAGAACCATGGATCGGCTGCCTCCTGCACGCCCCACACTGGGGATGGAGCCTGCAGCCGACCGGGAATCACACCGTGTCCTCCTGGTTCCTAGGTTGACGCTCAACCACTGAACCACAGGGGCGGGCAAAGGCAGGCTTTCTGTGAGCACTGCCCTGGGGACAGAGTCCTTGGCCTTTAGGGACCTGCTGAGGGAGGGGCGGCCCTCGGCCACCCTGGTGGGATGAGGAGGGGCGTTGCTCCCCGGGGGGGCCTCTCAGGAGCAGGGGGTCCCCGAGCTGGTGAGCCGCAGGGAGGGGGCCTCCAAGGGCAGCCACTGTCTTGCCTGTGGACGGGTCCTTTCTGTCCTCAGCCCAGTGTCCGCGGGGCCGACCTGGAGAGGCTTGGGGAGAGCCTTCTGCGTCACTGCGACGCAAACCGGGACGGGAAGATCCAGAAGGCGGAGCTGGGTCTGTGTCTCGGGCTGAGGAGCAGCCCCTGACCCGCAGGCAGCTCTGCTCTGCGCTTGGCGTGGGGCCTGGTATCTGTGCTTCGCTGTCGGGGGCACCGCGAGTGAACTCTGTAGCAGACGGTGTGGGATTTGTCGTGAAAGATGTGGCCCCTGTTTCTAATAACTCGGTGATTTTCAAACCTCCCTCCCCCTTCGAGGATCCCCCCCCCAAGCCTCTGTGAACCCTGTCATCCCCCCACAGTGATGGGGCAGGGGCAGCGCACCCACCCTGTGCTCTGTGCCCTCCCGTGACCTTCTGCCGCGTCTGCCCGCTGTGCCCGCTGTGCCCGCTGTGCTGTCTGCAACTCAACTCTGACCTGGAAATAAACCTGCAGCTGCAAACGTACATGCGCTGCTGACTGCGTTTGTGTTGTGACCCTTGCAGTGCCTGTGATGGTTTGACAGCCCCACTGCTCCTCTACCTGGAGGGGGAAGGGCAAGGCCCTGGTGGGAGCACCCCGGCCGACCTTCCTATTCTCAGGTGCCCTGAGTGTGGCAGGAGGAGGGACTTCAGGCCCAGCCAGCCTGGCTCGGTGGTTGAGCGTCAACCCATGCGCCAGGAGGTCACGGTTGGATTCCCGGTCAGGGCACAGGCCTGGGTTGCAGGCTCGATCCCCAGTGTGGGCCGTGCAGGAGGCATCCCATCTATGATTCTCTCTTATCATGGATGTTTCTCTCTCTCCCTCTCCCTTCCTCTCTGAAATCAGTAAAAATATACTTAAAAAAAAAGAGGGACTTTATTCAGGTCGACTGTTCACAAGACCAGGAGCCGCACCACAGCCCCGGCCGGCAGCATCCGCCTGAGTAAGCCGGGTTCTCCCGTTGGTCCTGCCATGCCAGGAGCTGTGCGACTTAACTTCTCCACACTTTGTGCAAAGTCGGAATAAAGAAGGAGCTCGTCAGACACTCGGGGAGACTGTGTGGAAACAACCTCCTGGGCCGGCAGTCCTACTGGTTTAGGGGCCAGTGAGAAGCTTCTTCACTCCCCACCTTCTCCTTTTCTGTGACAGCTCCTCTCCTTGGTCCTCCATACTGGCCTGGGGGTCGCATGTTTTGCTTGTTCAGAATTGCAGTTCCTCTGCTATTCCCAAAGAAACTCAGTCGCTGTGCAATAACTTTTGTTGTTTAACTTAAAAAAATGTTTTTATTTTTTTAGGGAAGGAGGGAGAGGGAGAGAGAAACATCCATTGGCTGCCTCCTGTGCGCCCCCTCTGGGCAACCGGGGCATGTGTGTTCTTACCAGAACCGAACCAGTCACCTCAGTGTAGGGGACAAGGGCGCTCCACCCACTGAGCCACGCCAGCCAGAGCTGGTTTCACTTTCAAGCCTGAACCTGTTAACAGGTGTGTTCCAGGTTTCTCATTGTGAAGTCACGCCCTCTCTCCCCTGTCCACACTCTGTGCTTCGGCAAGTCTGGGAGTTAAGCTACCTTGCTTGATGGGGAGCATCTAGATGACATTTTTGAAATTCTTGTTTAGGAAAATTTTCACATATCCCTACTCGCACAGCCATTTATATCATTATTCTGATTTTTAAAATGTCACAGTTTAAAGTTATTGGCAATGTTCTAAACATCTAATTCGTTCCAATATCTGTGCAAGTTTTATCTTCTAAATTTTTCCTTCCTTTGTGCCTCCCCCAATTGTATGCCTTAATACTTATGTACATTAATTCAAGAGATAATTTCATACTTGATTGTCCCTAATTAACATATTATGTAGTTTATTCTCTTTAACTTTATAGGACTTTAAATCTTCTTCACACCTGCTTCTATACATGTCTGTGTGGAGTGTCCAGCAATATGTTTTTTTAGCTAACCAATTAGATTCTTTTTCTTGGAGATCAGCTAAACTTGAATTCTGTACAGTAATTTTGTATTTGACAGCCTAAGTGTTCATTTACTTTCCAATTTGACTTGGTATTTGCAGTGGAAACAAACTAAAAATGTCTCTTCTTTGTAGTTAAAACTTCTGAAAAGGACCAAAATTCCCTAATAATTTCAAAAGTTATGATGGAAGAACATGCCACATTCCAGCCTCTGAGGATGACTAGATTCTCTCCATCACATGTGGCATCAAGCTCATTTTTGAGATACATTTTGCTTTACATCTTAAGAAAATTCCATTTACTAAGCATGTGTGTGAAGTCAGTTATCAAATACACTGACCCCGTTACCACATGGTGAGACTGACTTGCTGACTCCTGGTTACTGCTGTCTAAAGACCTCATAGGAACGGTACTAGCAGGTTTGGAGGGACGCAGCCTTGTCCGATTGACTTTCGTCCTGTAGACTGCCACAAGCTAACCTGGAAGCTACGACAGTTTATTCTAACCCATCACTTAGCTCTATTTACCTGAGCCTTAATGTAAGGCTTCTGCTCACATCAGCTCAGGAACGGGGTGTTAGAGCGCTAGAGGACGTTTGTTCCTTCTCCCAAGGGCTCCAGTAGCTAAGCTGGCGGCTGCCAGGGCCCAGGAACCTCTGCTTTCCAGCCTTAATGTTAAAGGACCCGCTATTAGACCAAAGGTCGTCTCCAGGTGCCGTGTTTCCTAAGAAGCTCGCCAGAGAACCACACAAGCCCAGCTTTCTGCGCTGTGACAGCCTTTACTGAGGATCTGAGTGGCTCTGAAAAGAGCCTTTGGTTTCTTTCTCTCTAGATGTTCAGGGTCCTCACTTGCCCTTGGCCTTGTGGTGGCTCTCGGTCTTCTTGGGCAACAACACGGGTTGGATGTTGGGCAGCACGCCGCCCTGCGCGATGGTCACACCGCCCAGTAGCCTGTTGAGCTCCTCGTCGTTGCGGATGGCCAGCTGCAGGTGGCGCGGGATGATGCGGGTCTTCTTGTTGTCGCGGGATGCGTTTCCTGCTAATTCTAAGATCTCGGCCGTCAGGTACTCCAGCACCGCCGCCAGGTACACGGGCGCGCCCGCCCCAATGCGCTCGGCGTAGTGGCCCTTGCGGAGCAGCCGATGAATTCGGCCCACGGGGAACTGCAGCTGGGCTCTAAAGGAGCGAGATCTGGCTTTGGCGCGGGCCTTGCCGCCCTGCTTGCCGCGCCCGGACATAACTTGAGATGGTGGTAGCAATAACAGAAAATCTAACCAAAACACGCCACAGAGGGCCTATTTATAGTCTGCCGTAGGTTGTGACTGGCCATCTGATTGGCTGACTGGCGGATGCTTATCCAATCAGAAAGCAGTACTGAAATCACCTCATTTGCATACACGTCACTGCCATTATCCAATCAGATGGGGCTGCCCAGCGGTCAGTTGAAGGCCACCCTATAAATACCAGGCTTTGGGCCACCAGCTGCTGTTCACTGACCTGTGTCAGTTGGAGTGTGGGGCTGAGCACGCACCATGCCGGAGCTGGCTTCGAAGGGCGCCACTATTTCCAAGAAGGGCTTTAAGAAGGCCGTGACCAAGACCCAGAAGAAAGAGGGCAAGAAGCGCAAGAGGTGCCGCAAGGAGAGCTACTCGATTTATATCTACAAGGTGCTCAAGCAGGTGCACCCCGACACCGGCATCTCGTCCAAGGCAATGAGCATCATGAACTCATTTGTCAATGACATCTTCGAGCGCCTCTCTGCTGAGGCGTCGCGCCTGGCGCATTACAATAAGCGCTCGACTATCACCTCTCGCGAGATCCAGACGGCCGTGCGCCTGCTGCTGCCCGGCGAGCTGGCCAAACACGCCGTGTCCGAGGGCACCAAGGCCGTCACCAAGTACACCAGCTCCAAGTGAGGCGCGAGCACGTGGCCTGACTCCTGAACCCAAAGGCTCTTTTCAGAGCCACTTACACTTTCTAAAGGGCTGTAAGGTTTTTAGTTGTGCACCATTCAATGGCTAGTTTAGCTGGTAAGAAATTGCTGTATTTGTGGTTCACATTTGGGGAACATCTTACGTCAATGGCCAGAAAACCAATATGTTCAGCGAGGTAGCAAGACAGCTCTTTTTCAGGAAATATAGGTGGCTCTTAAAAGAGCCTTTGAGTTAAAAGGTCACCTGGTGGCCGAATCCTTTTATTTGGAGCTGGTGTACTTGGTGACGGCCTTGGTGCCCTCGGACACGGCGTGCTTGGCCAGCTCCCCGGGCAGCAGCAGGCGCACGCCCGTCTGGATCTCCCGGGACGTGATGGTTGAACGTTTATTGTAATGCGCCAGGCGCGATGCCTCACCCGCGATGCGTTCAAAAATGTCATTAACAAACGAGTTCATGATGCTCATTGCCTTGGACGAGATGCCGGTGTCGGGATGCACCTGCTTGAGCACCTTGTAGATGTAAATCGAGTAGCTCTCCTTGCGGCACCTCTTGCGCTTCTTGCCCTCTTTCTTCTGGGTCTTGGTCACGGCCTTCTTAAAGCCCTTCTTGGAAATAGTGGCGCCCTTCGAAGCCAGCTCCGGCATGGTGCGTGCTCAGCCCCACACTCCAACTGACACAGGTCAGTGAACAGCGGCTGGTGGCCCAAAGCCTGGTATTTATAGGGTGGCCTTCAACTGACCGCTGGGCAGCCCCATCTGATTGGATAATGGCAGTGACGTGTATGCAAATGAGGTGATTTCAGTACTGCTTTCTGATTGGATAAGCATCCGCCAGTCAGCCAATCAGATGGCCAGTCACAACCTACGGCAGACTATAAATTGGCCCTGCATTTGCCCTGAGGGTGTCTTTTCCATAGCGCGGGACATATCCAGCATCATGACTGGGTCGGGAAAGCAGGACGGCAAGTTTCGCGCTAAGGCTGTATCTCGCTCTTTCCGGGCTCAGCTGCAGTTCCCCGTGAGCCGCGTGCATCGCCTGCTGCATAACGGCAACTACGCGGAGCGCATCGGCACCGGCGCATCAGTGTACCTGGCGGCGGTGCTGGAGTACCTGGCGGCCGAGATCCTGGAGCTGGCGGCCAACGCGGCGCGCCACAACAAGAAGACCCGCATCGCCCCGCGCCACCTGCAGCTGGCCGTCCGCAACGACGAGGAGCTCAGCAAGCTGCTGGGCAAGGTGACCATCGCGCAGGGCGGCGTGCTGCCCAACATCCAGGCCGTGCTGCTGCCCAAGAAGACCGAGAGCCACTACCAGAAAGGCCAGCGGAAGTGACCGGCATCCCGGGAGAGGAAAAGCTCAGAAACCAAAGGCTCTTTTCAGAGCCACTCACAAGGTCAGAAGGAGCTGAGGCGAGACAGTGACTGACAAGCCCTGGCCGGTCTGGCTCTGGGTAGAGCGTCGGCCGCAGACTGAAGGGTCCCAGGTTTGATTCCGGGTCAAGGGCACGTGCCCGGGTTGCGGACTCGGTCCCTGGTGGGGGTGTGTGTGCAGGAGGCCGATGATAATGATTCTTGTCATTGATGTTTGTCTCCCTTTTCCTTTCTCTCTGAAATCAATAAAAAACATTTTTAAAAACTGACTGAAGAGTGGAATTGACCCCAACTAACCCAGCAGGACGCTGGAACTAGCCTGGCTGGGACAACGAGCCTCAGGCCGTCCGCTCTGGTGTGCGAGACACTGGGCGGTGGGGCGCACGGTCCCGGAGCCGCTCTTCAACGCTAGACGGCAGTCCTGGCGGCAGGAAGGCCTTTCCCACGGACAGACTGACCCGGGACAGCTGTCAGCAGGGAGTGCGGGGTGTCTGTCCGATAAGAAGGGACCTTGATCTCCTGGGCGTGAAGCAGGAGGGAGCTTTAATGAGCTTGGTCGACTTGTTAATTAGCCGAAAGCAGCAAAGTCAAACATTAAGCCTCAGAGCCAGTCAAATCTGCCCATTTCGCAACCGAAGGGCTAAAGGTTTGGGATAATCATTTACTTCTTGGGGAGTCAGAAAAGTGCGAAGCTGAGAGACACTCATTTGAAAGGAATGAGGACCCTGCACTCTACCTCCCGCAGGTCAGCCTTGGGTCTTTTGCCCTTAACTGCTCTGCCTTTGCGTTCGGGGACTGGGTCTTGCCCCAGGAGCAGCTTACCTTGCTGGTCAGGGATAGAGATGGTGCGGGTGGGGAACAGAGCTCATCTCTCCTGAGATAATTCCAGAAAGTGAGAGAGGAGGCGGCCTTTTCCTGAAAGAAGGGAGAGCCCCAGGACTCCAGGGAAAAATCTGCCGGAACAACCCTCTGGTCATTTTCAGAGGAAACCCCCACCGGCTATCGTCAGCCTCCAGATAACCTCATGTTAGAGCCAACAGCACCCCAGGCTTTCCCAGCGCCCACCAGCTGACGCCTCTCACGCTCCGTGACATCCGTGGGGAAATCTCCAGGGCAAAGGGCTTAAGAGCACCGTGTCTTCTATTTGACTCAGGAAGTCTAGACACTGAAAACAGTGTTTCAGGTCATTTAACCCACTGGACTCTTCTGGGTGAAATTTCGCCGAAGATGGTCAAGCCCTGGACGATGTGGTTCAGTGGGTTGGACGTTGTCCGGTGCACAGAGAGGTCTCTGGTTTGATTCCGGGTCCGGACACATGCCTGGGTTGTGGGCTGATCCCCACCACGGGGCCTGAGAAGGCAGTGATTGATGTTTCTGTCTCCCTCTCTATCCCTAAAATCAATAAAAACATTTAAAAAAATAAGATTGTTAAGTTTTAACATCCAGTGCTTACTGATATCAATTGAGAGACTAGGAGACCCTGAATGGGAAGAAAATTACAACCCTTCAGGCACTCCAGGCCAGAGCCCTCATTCCAGACGCAGAAACTGGGACCCCAGGCCTTGACCTTCCCACGCACACCAGGTCTCCTGAACCCTAACCTGGCATTTTCCCACCAAACATTTCCTCTAAATTCTTAGGAGAACCAGGGCAGTGTCCTGTACACTATAGGATGCTTCTTTCTATTTGCTCGTGTGTCCTTTCATTCCCGCAGGTGAACCTCAGGCCCCGGGAGAGGAGGGACACCATGTCCACTAGAGCAGAAACCACGGCCACCACGGGGGAGCCGTCCAGCAGCGGTGACGGAATCACGGCCCCAGTGCCAGCCTCCAGCAAAGGTAAGGGCGTGCGCTGGTTGTGGATAAAACCGGGACCCGGTGACCTCGGCTCCTTTCTGGGGGTCTGTAGCATCTCCTCGCTCCCACCAATTGCCACGAATTCTGTAAGCTATAAAGAATGTTTACTGAGAATTATTTCATGTCGTGCAATAAACTTGAAGGTCATAAAGCAGGTCTCCAGGCGTGATTTGTCACCAAGGCAGGAAGTCAGAGCAGATACCAAATAGAAGATCTGGAATCAACCTTAGCGTCTCTGATTCTAAGTCCAGGAGGCATGGCCGTAGGTCTCTGCTCAACCCAGACCTGCCTCAGCATTCCCTTCCCCTTTGGTCTGGGTTCTGAGGGGATGTGACCCCTCCCCTCCCGGGGGACAGGTGTCTGCCGGACACAGCCACGTCTGCTCTCCCTGTGCTGCTGCTCACAGACCGACTGCCATCGCCTCCCCCTTCCAGACGTAGGAGAGGGGGCGCAGAAACGGACCACGGTGACAAGGCCTTCTGTGCCCTCTCGTCGCAGGCATGTGCTCGGTCCGACACGGGCTGGCCCTCCTCTTGCATCTCTGTAACTTTGCGATTTCCACCCAACAAATGAACTTGAGCATTGCCCTCCCAGCGATGGTGAACGGCACGGCCCCGCCCAGCCCGCCCAACGCCTCTTCCTCTGTAGCCCTGGGCGACAGGAACGGAACTCTGATGGGACTTAAGGTGCTGGTATGTTTAAGGAGACGCGACCCTTTCTGTGGCTTCAATGGCTTGATCTAAAGCAGCGGTTCTCAACCTGTGGGTCGCGACCCCTTTGGGTCGCCTAAGACCATCGGAAAACACATATATAATTACATACTGTTTTGTGATTAATCACTATGCTTTAATTATGTTCAATTTGTAACAATGAAAATACATCCTGCATATCAGATATTTACATTATGATTCATAACAGTAGCAAAATTAGTTATAAAGTAGCAATGAAAATAATTTTATGTTTGGGGGTCACCACAACACGAGGAATTGTATTAAAGGGTCATGACATTAGGAAGGTTGAGGACCACTGATCTAAAGGGTTATTTATTGAGTTCGGCCGGCATGGCTCAGTGGTTGAGCATTGACCTATATACCAGAAATCATGGTTCCATTCCCGGTCAGGGCACATGCCTGGTTGCGGGCTGGATCCCCAGTGGGGGGCGTGCAGGAGGCAGCCCATCCATGATTCTCTCTCATCATGGATGTTTTTCTCTCTCTCTCTCTCCCTTCCTCTCTGAAATCAATAAAAATATATTTAAAGAAATATTTAGCTCTCTCGCCAAAGAATAAACAGCAAGGTTCTCCTTGTCACCCAGGCGCCCGTGTATGCCTGGAGCCCGGAGATCCAGGGGGTCCTCCTCAGCTCCCTCAGCTACGGCTCCTTCGTGGCCTCGATCCCCAGTGGCTATGTGGCCGGGCTAGTCCGACCCCGGCACCTAATCGGCGCCGCCCTGTTGACCGTCTCCGCCCTGAGCCTCTTCATCCCGCTGGCGGCGGAGGCAGGTGTGGCCCTGCTCATCGTCCTCCGGACCGTCCAAGGCGTGGCCCAGGTACCGCGAGGCCATCTCAGTCTGAGTGGAATATGATTCTAGAATGTCTCAGAAGCCCTGGCTGGTTTGGCTGGGTGGATAGAGCGTCGGCCTGCAAACCAAAGGGTGTCGGGTTCAATTCCAGCCAAGGGCACACTCCTGGGCTGTGGGCTCAATTCCCAGTAGGGGGTGTGCAGGAGGCAGCTGGTCAATGATTCTCTCTCATCAGTGATGTTTCTTTCCCTCTCCCTTCCTCTCTGAAATCAATAAAAATATATTAAAAAAATAAAATGTTTCAGATGACCAAGAGTGGAACGTCCCCCTGTCCCCACAGGTGATGATACAAACCAGCCAGTATTTAATTTGGGTGAAATGGGCTCCCCCCTTGGAGAGGAACCAGCTCATCACCATTTCCATCTCAGGTAGGTGATGCCTCAGGGGCACCTGACAGGCACTGTCCAGAGCACCAGGCAAGGGCCTGGCGCCAGAAGCCAGCCACACCTTCTCCCATCTCCTCTGCCTCCTTGCTTGAAAGCACTGCCCTACTCTTTTTCTTTCTTTTTCAAAAAAATATTTTTCTTGATTTCAGAGAGGGAGAGGGAAAGAGAGTTAGAAACATCAATGATGAAAGAATCATTGATCAGCTGCCTCCTGCATGCCCTCTACTGGGGATGGAGTCCACAACCCGGGCCTGTGCCCTGACCGGGAATCGAACCGTGGCCTCCTGGTTCACAGGTCGACCCTCAACCGCACCGGCCAGGGCTATACTATCTTTCTTGGTTATAACTGCGCACTTACTGGGCAGAAAAACCCTTGCAAGTGCTTTGCGCTTGTTACTTTATCTTAAAACACGTTATTTCCATTTTGCACGCAAAGCCCAATGAGGCACAAACAGACGAGTAACTTGGCCAGGGTCACGTGGCTCCTGAGCGAAGAGGCAGGAGTTGCCCCCATGGCGTCCAGCCTGTGCCTCTGGCGTTGGGACCAGGTCAGTCTGTAGGAGGCACGCAGAGTCCGAGCCTGACCTCTCACCCGGACATCGCCGCCGCTTGTGTTTAGGGCTCATGCTGGGCTCCTTGACCGTCCTCCTTGCCGGTGGCTTCCTCTGCGAGACCCTGGGGCGGCCGTACGTCTTCTACATCTTCGGTGAGTTCGCGCGTCTCTCCCACCTCACACGTTTCTTTTCTTTTCTTTTTTTATTCTTATTGTTGTTTTATTGCTTACAGTCTTACAAAGGGTATCACACGTGTCCTTCCCCCGCCCTTGACAGTCCCCTGGCCTCCCCTACCCCCCCCCGTGTCTTATGTCCATTGGTTATGCTCATATGCATGCATCCAAGTCCTTCGGTTGATCTCTTACCCCCCTCCCTCCTGCCCCCCACCCTCCCCGGCCTTCCCGCTGCAGTTTGACAGTCTGTTTGAGGCAGCTCTGCCTCTGTAGAAGTTTATTTTCTGACGGTGGGGGCTGGGCGCGGTGTCTGTGATACTAGTCCCCTGTGCTTAACCAAACCCTCACAGAAGTGGATGTTTATAACAGAGAGGACCGTGTTCAGGGCTAATTATGTGGTGACTTTGCACGAGGACACGTGAGGCTTAGCTGGAACACCCGGTGACATTCCCTCCTGTTTCCAGGGGAACCGCAAAGGGTGCCAGAGGAATTTCTTTTGTAAGATCTTGAAAACGCTGTCTTGGTTCAATTATATTTTTATTTTTTAAAATATATTTTTATTGATTTCAGAGAGGGAGAGAAACATCAATGATGAGAGAGAGC